GCAGATGAAGATTTTTTTTTTGTGGTCTTTTTTAATGTCATAATAATTTACCGTGTTAACATTCATTGTTCTTACATAGACACTGGGTTACAGAGTACTGGAGCCTCCAGCGACAGCCCCTGGTCCTGTCCCGTCCCATCCCCTGCTGTCACCGGGCCCTGGGGAGGGAGCAGACGGACACGGCCGCGCTGCAGCTCAGGATAAACCAACCTGTCACAATTCCTGGTTTCCCCTCTCCTCTACTTTCTCCTAAAGCACGGGCTGAGGCACCAACCCTTCCTCCATGGATTTCGGTGGGATTACGAGGTGCTCAGCACCACTGAAAATCTTGCACTGACTCTCTTAAAAATTTTTCCCCCCCTACTTTGCAGTCTGCAGCAGGAATTCGGCACTGCTGGAGGCCCCTCTGCCTCGGGGTGGGCAGGGAAGCCCCCCTGGTGCAGCACCTGAGCTCGGCCGCAGATCCTTCTCTGCGCACGCACACGCTGGCAGCGTGTTTTAAGGCAGTGGTCCACAACAGAGTCTCTGGGGTCCTGGGGGTCCTGGGCAGGCACGAGGGTGGGGGAGAGAATGTTTCCCTCTTGCGTGGAGTGGCTGGATGCAGTTTTGGAGCAGGGATGGGGTGGGAGGCGGGTGCTGTGTGGGCGCACTGGGAGTGAGGTGGGACAGTGTGGGGGCTGTTGTGGCGGTGCCCGTGCGAGGGCTGGCTTCCTCCTACACTGCATGTGTTTCCTGGCTCCCTCGCTGCTTTTCCAAAGAAATGTTTATCTGCAGGATTTAGTTAACAAGCTTTACACTCGGCGATTGCTGCGGTCCCTCAGCCTGTCCCCACCTGACCTGGTCACTCCGCTCCTGCACGTGGCTCCGTGGGGCAGCTGCCAGCTCGGCCCTGGCACTGCAGGTAGGCCCTCTTTGCAATGCCTTTTAATTGTGGAATCGTGGAGTTTAAGCACTTTCCTATCCAGGCTGGAGGCAGAGAAGCAAGGGAATACAGCACTACCACTGCTGCAAGGTCACAGGTGTCTGCCCTGGGGAAGGGACAGCGATCCTGCAGCACGGGGAGGAGGGGAGGGTTGTCCTCACACACTGGAAAATCCTCCCTGTGCTGCAGGAATACCACGAGGACAAAAGTGCTCAGTGTCCTTTCGGCTTGTGAGCCACTGCCCTGTGTGCTCCAGCCCTGCCTTCCTCCTGCACCTCCTCCTCAAACCAGCTTGGATCCCCTCACCATCATGTGCTCCCACCGAGCACATCACTGCGGTGCCATGGGTGGTGGTCATGGCCCAAGGACTGAGCAGAGGGCTAAAAAGATTTAAAAAAACCCGAAAACAAAACAGGACCGACCCCTAATGTTGGGTTTGGAACAGTGGCTTTCAGGGCTAGAATTAAAAATAGAGATATATGGGTATACTGTACAGGTGAGAGGCGGCTGTTGTCTGCACACCCGCGCGGGTGGGGCCTGCTATGTACACGCTCCGACTGCACTACCAGTGACTCGCTTCGTAAAAAAAAAATAAAATAAATACAACCATGTGTTTAAAAAATAATAAGTGCTGCAGTCCCCACAGCTGCTGCCTGTCCCCAGACTGCCAGGGTGTCTCACAGCCGGGGCCTGGACACGTGGAGTGAGCGGAGAGGAGCCGCCGTGCCCCGACGTGGGACGTGCTGGAGGTGAGGCCGGGGGGGGCTGCAGGGGGGGCCCAGGCTCCCCTATGGCTTTTGAAGGGGTGGGTGGGCTGGGGAGCAGCCGGTGCCAGGGCTGGGAACTTGGGTCTCTTCTGGCACTGGCTCCTCTGTGGCAGCCGCTGCTGATGCTGGAAGGGAGGGCAGGGAGTTGCCCATCCCACAGAGGGTGGGTGCCTGCTCCTGCCTGTGTTGGGAGGGCAGGGTGGGCACAGGGAGTCCTGGGGCTGGCAGCAGCGGGGGGCAGTTTTGGAGGGCAGGGAAATGCCAGAGTGAGCAGTGTACGGGGGTGAGCCATGTATGGGGGAGCAGGAGGGTGGGAGGGAAAGACGTGTCCGGGCAGCCCCAGGCTGGCCCTTTGGGGAGGCTCTGGGATGATCCCCAGAGTCCAGCTCAGTGCAGGGAGCCACGGGGAAGGCACAGCCACAGGGCACGTGCGTGCAGCTCCCTGCACAGAGAGCCTGGGCCAGCGGCTTCCCGGTGGGGTGAGCAGAGAAGGGATGCACAGGGATGGAAGGGGACAAGCAGGGGATGGCTCATCAGTGTCACTCGGTCAAGCCAGGCAGGAACAGGCAGGAGAGCTTGGGACAGCCTGTCCCCAGCCCCCAGGACGGGGTTGCTGCGCTTTCCCCCCTGCCACGCTCCTGCTGTGGGTCCCAGACGAACAGAGCCCAGACCTGGGGCTCCCACAGCCGCTCCCGGCTGCTGGCCCTGACGCACACCGAGTCCCCGAGTCCTGGGCAGAGGGTCTGAGCTCTCCATGCTGCTGTCCTGCCCCCGGAGCCAGGCCCCTGCCCTGCCGCCTCACCTGCGGCCCCGCGCTCCGCCGTCACTTCAGCAGGGAGATGTCGTCGGCAAAGTCGTCGTGGTCCCGGCGCAGGCAGCGGAAGCAGCGCCACTGGAACACCATGAGGCAGAGGGGCAGCATGAAGAGGGCGCAGATGGCCGCCATGACGTAGGCGATGGTCATCAGGGTGGACTCGTCCGTCTGCGGGATGTTGTAGCCGCAGTCCTCCATGTTGGAGTGCAGGTGGGGCCCGTCCACCGCCGCCGTCCGGAACTCGTCGTGCACTGCTGGGGGGAAGGCAGGGCTCTGGCTACTGCACTCCCACAGCCCCTCTGCCCTTCTCTCCCTCCCTCCAGGCCCAGTGCTCACCGTGGCAGGCGCTGACAGCGAAGCCGATGCGCTTGCGGGCACGGTCGAAGACCACGTAGAAGCCCTCCATGATCACGGCGCCCATGACGGTGCCAGTGGAGGACTGGGAGATGGCAAACTTGTAGCAGTCATCCTGAGAGGTGGCCACGTCCTCCACCGGGCGCAGATATTGCTGCAGGGAGAGAGGTGCCGTCAGGAAAGGGGGCAGGGAGGCAGCTGTGCCCACCCAGTGTGGTCCTGCTGGTCCTGCCGCTCCAGCCCACTCTGGCTGGGCCAACGTTCACCTGGGGCAGGATGGTGATCCGGAAGGACTGGTTGGTGGCCTCCCCCATCAGGTAGAGGGACAGGACCGGGAAGATGTGCCAGGGGGTGGTGCCGACCTGCCAGCAAACCAGCTGCTCCCCCAGCCAGAAGCCATCTGGGAACTTCTCCGTCTGCCAGAGGGAAAGAGGAGGTGAGCGGAGCCAAGCTGGGCAGGCAGCAGAGATGCCAGGCTGGTAAGGGGCAGCTGTGCTGCCCACAGGCCTGGGGATGTGATGGGGGGAAGAGATGGGTTTCACTGACCGAAGATGCTGTTTTGATGGATTTCACTGCAGCCTCAAACACCTTCTTTGGCAGCCTGAGGTTGGTGGTCCCGCTGTCCACGATGCTCTTGTCGTAGTTGTACTGGGGGCAGAAGAGGAGGGGTGACCCAGGTGCAGGACCCCAGCCCCGCTCCCCTCCCGACCCCTCCAACCAGTAGCAGGTCCCTCCAGTGCCGTGGCCCAGCTGAGCCCAGGGGGCGGGTGCCCTGGGGCCCCCTCACCTCTTTGCAGTCCATGTTCAGGTCCTGACCATTGACCTCCAGCTTGACAATGATGACCTCGTAGTACCACTCCTTGCGGATGGGGGTGTACCAGATGTCCCCCACGTACAGCGAGCGGTCGATGCCACCGATGATCTGCAGCGGAGACACAAAGGCGCTGCCACCACACGCCACCAGAGCCCCGTGGGAGCCCCTGGCAGCCTCCCCCTGCCTGCAGAGCCCTCACCATGCTGCCTCCCACCGAGGCCACGGCCTCCGTCTCGTTGGGCGAGAAGCCCGTCCCACACAGCTGCAGGGAGAAGATGTTGGGCACCCGTGTCTGCTTCACCAGGGAGTCAAAGAAGGGCTCCAGGCTGTCGTCAGGCTGGTGGGAGGAGAAAGCAGAGGCAGGTCAGGGATGCGTCAGTGCTGTCCCTTCTCCAGGGGCTCTCCGTGCCCAGGGGAGCTCCCCTCACTGGGACTGCTGTGCCCCAGGGGACAAATAGAGCCGAGGGAAGAGGCAGCTGAAGCCTGCTCGTGCTCACATCTGCTGGCAGGGCCAGGCTGCTGCCAGCCAGGACTCACCCGAGCAATCTCGGCGTATGCCAGCCCCAGGATCCCTTCCCAGTTGGAGCCATTGATGAAGAATTTGTCTGACTCCGTGATGGCAGCGATGTTGGCTCTGACGGTGACGTTGGGGCCGTGGGGGATGGTGACCAGGTCAGTGCCCAGTTCCCCTTCCCACTTGCCCTGGGTGTAGGGCACATACACCCCCTTCCGCAGGTCACGGTAGGTGCTGGACCTGCAAAGGCATCAAAGGGACGAGTAAGACTGGAAGGGGCCGTGTGGATCCTGCTATTCCAGAGGTCAGTTGGTACTTGGCAGGGTCTGGCCAGACCCCCAGCAAGAAGGGGCAGTGTGCCACTGTGGGGCTGGGACAGTGGCTCTGCTCTGTCCCCCTCCACATACTCACAGCTGCCGCTGGTAGTATCTCCGGAGGAAGGGGTGTGGTGCAGCTCCCACAGCAAAGTTACTGCTCCCTGTGTCCACCAGGATGTTCAGCTGGGGAAGAGAGACAGGGAGGTGCATGAGTGCAGTGGGACCCTCTTTTGTTGTGCCCAGAGAGGAGAGAAGAAGGTGGCGGAGCAGGAGGCAGCGACATCAGGGAGTTGGACAACAAGCAAACACTGTCTGGCACCATGAAAACAGAGCATGAGCTCCTCGCTCAGCACGACCTGGCCTCAGCCCCCCAGTCCACGGGATTTGGGAAGCACCTGGCAGGTGTCATGGGTCTGAAGAGCAGCAGCAAGACAGGGTGCATAGGCTCCCCTTGCCAGGAAAGCTGATTTGCTGGCAGAGCTGGTGGGAAGGATCGCTGCGCCCGCTAATCACCACCCATATGCCGAGCCCTGCTCCCGATTCATTCCTGCCTGTGCGGGATTACCAGGTTTGGCAAACATCCCACCGGCAGGGCCGGGAGCGGGCCAGCTGGATCCTGCCCCCAGCTGACCCCTGCCTGTGGCCCCTGCGGGGAGCGGGGTGGGACTGCCAGGGTGGAATTGCCAGGGCAGGATTGCTGGAGTGGGATTGCTGGAGCAGGATTGCTGGGGTGGGAATGGGGCTCCAAGCCCTGCAGGGCAGCAGTGCCTGGGGTGAGCCCTGACCCCAGCCCCGGGGGCTGCTTCACAGCACCACCCCAGCCAGCACTGACAGGGCTTGGGCCCTTAATCTGTGGAGTCAGAGGGCAGAGAAGGAGGTTAATGCGCTTGTGCTAATCGCAGGAGTGCTGGGCTGCAGCTGCTGAGTGTTCTCCACGGCCACCTGACAGGGGCTGCCATGTCCTGGGTGCCCTGTGCCCCAGCCCTGCTGCCTTGCACTGGGGGACGGCCTCCCCTGGCCAGCTTCCTGCCATGGGGAACGTTTCAGGCCATGGGTAAAGATCAGAGCAGCACATTTGCCCCTCCAATATCCACCCTGGGTGAGTGCCAGCTCAGCACCTGCTGCACAGCCCGACCTTCCCCTGGCAACCGGCACCTGCGCCCGCTCCCAGGGCTGTTCCCAGTTCTGTGGGTGGGTCACCAGGGGCCACTCGCTCAACAGAGCTCATCTCTAATCCCCAAGGCACCCAGAGGAGACAGGTTTCCCTGGAGAAAGACCTGCTGAGCTGATGCTACAGGGAGAGAAGGAAGCGAGGAAGGGGTTTTGCTCTCGCAGGCTCCATCCTGCTGACAGGGTCACGCACAGGACCCACGTGGAGAGGACCCGGATCCTTGAGACTCAGCCCAGCCATCCATTCAGGCCAGGACACAACACGTGAACTGGTGAGGCCAGGACATGTGTGACAGGGATGCTGTCTGAAACCTGTCCCTGGAAGTGACAGCCCCTCCGGGCACCTCAGCAGCAGCACTGGCTCTGTGCCACGCGTGTCCTAGTGCTCAGTGCCGCTCCTGGGGACTAAGCCTGCGCCATCTGTCCCAAAACACCAGCTCTCCATGCTTGTCTCACCCCTCTTCCCTCTGTGTTTATGAATCAGCCCGTCCTGGGGAGCCAGGGAAACCAACATGCTTGGGCACATGGAGTGTGTGAGCAATCGGCTGCTGACGGTGACTTGGCAGCGCAGCACAGCTCAGAACCAAAATTAAAGCACAAGAGGATACAGAAACTCCCTTGTCAGCACCAGGAAGGTGAAAGGAAAGCTGAGGAGATGGATCACCATCTCCCTGCTGTATGTGACCCTTTGGGAAGGATGCACGCACCCCTCGGGACAAATATGCCCCTGATTTCCTGCGAAGGCACAGCCAAACTCTTTCATATGAATCTTTTAATTCTGTTGCAGCGCCTGGAGGGATTTTGCTCCAGCACACACACACACACACACACATTTGGAAGCAATCCAAGGCTGGAAGATGCTGCCCAAAAGGGCGACTGGCTCCGGAATGCACGAGTGCCTGGGAACAGGTGGTTAGCACGGAAATTATCTGGCAGCTGCGACACGTGGCAGGCAGGAGATGATGAAATCACATTTAAAACTAGATTTCAGAAATAATCTCCTCCCTTTTTTTCCCCCTAAATGCACCCTGCCAGAGCAGAGAATAAATCCCAGGCACACAGGGACAACACGACACCGCTCCCAGAGATCCGATTTTTGTGGTGGTGACATTATTCTCCTGTCCACGGCTCACGTCTCGCTCACATGGCTCTCCCCCACCACACACACAGGGCACAGCCAGCTCGTGGGGAAAAGCCAGTCTTTATTTCAGAGCCTGCGTGGGCACTGGGTGTTTTGGCAGCACCCAAAAAGTGGCAGTGGCAGGCACAAGGGAACGTGGCCCCGTGCTGGGAGGAGTGCAGAGCCTCGAGTGCTGGGCTGGCCCGCTCCGGTCCCTGAGCCAGACTTGCTGCTGGTAGCAGTGGGGATCAGTTCGGGCACAAAGGGATTTGGCAGCAGGAGCCTCCACGATGTCACCCATAAAAGCAGGGAGGAGCTGCTCTCCCCGTGCTGTGTGACCTGGCCATCAGCACCCATCCTGTCCCCAGCACGAAGGCACACGGTGCCACAACGTGAGCTGGACAGCGCAGCTCCAGGACGTGAGGGATGCTGACAGAAAGATGGAGAAGGAGCAGAAGCTGGTGATGCACCAGCTCCCTTTCCAGCCAGGCCACCCCATTTTCCTACCCTTTGCCTCCCCATGCTGCCCCGACTCTTGTGCAGTGACAGAGATCTGCAGACTCCTGTGCACGAGATCCCCGGGAAAACAAAGCTCCGGAGGATTTCTGGAGAATTTCCCCGGGTCGGGAGCGGCACACGGACCCGGGCAGCAGCTGCGCCAGGGGCTGCGCCGGGAGGAACGTGCCAAGCACGGCTTGGCCGTGGATTCTTCGCGCCTGGCTGTGCCCGCTCCAGGCGGGCGCGGGGCTGTGCAGCCACATCCCTCGCTGCCCACACACGGCGACTGCCTGAGTGGCAGCAAGCTTTGGCTCGGGAGAGGGGATGGATGGAAGAAGGGAGGGAGGGATGGAAGGGGGAAGGGATGGATGGAGGGATGCAGCCCCGCACGCAGAAGCACACGCAGCACCCGCTGCCTCTCCCCGGAGTGCCCGGGCAGCCCGGGAGTGCTGGGGTGACCTTCGGCGGGCGCCTGCGGCCAGTGTTCACCAAAAGGCAGCAGGAAAAGCATCACCCGAGCGATGAGGAGCGACGGGAAGCGCGGGCTGTGCAGCGAGAGCCGCGCAGCCATGGTGGCACCCGCAGAGCCTCTGCTCTGCGCCCCCGGAGGGGGACTCGCAGCCCCCCGGGGCGCGGGGAATGCAGAGGGATGCGGGAGATGCGGGGGATGCGAGAGATGCGGGGGATCCATCCCCTCCCACCTCACCTTCTGCGGGGGGCTGCCCACCGTCATCTCCACGTAGTACCCCTGCCCGGACTTGCCCCGCAGGTTGTCGATCATCTCCACGAAGCTGCCGGCGCGCTCGGGCTCGGCGTCCAGCGGCGCCCGGCGCTGCCGGAGCCCCGACGGCGGGGCCGCTCCGCCCCGCAGCGGCAGCCGGATGCGCGGCGGGGCCGGGAGGGCGCGCACGACCCCCAGCCACAGCAGCAGCAGCAGCCAGGGCCAGGCGGGCGCCATGGCCGCGGGGGAGCCCCTCGGGGGGACGCGGTCAGCGGGCCCGCAGCGCCCCGCGCCTCGGCGGGGCGGCCGCGCCGGGGCGGGCGGGCGGCGCGGCGGCGGCGGGCATGGCGGCGCGGCCAGACCCGCCCCGGAAAGCCCGCCCGCCGGCGGAAGCGCTGCCGGGGAGACCCGCCCCGGCCCTCCCCGCTGCCGCCGTCCCTCTCCCGGCCCCTCTCCCCGTGCCCGTCCCGCTCCCTGGTCCCGGTCCCGGTCCCGCCGGGACGCGCCGCGGGCGGTACCCACGCGTCGCCATGGCAACCGCAGCTCCCCTCCGGCGGCCCAGCCTCGGTGACGTCATGTGTCCCTCCTCCCCGCCGGCCAATCCGGTGCCGAGCATCCCCCCAGCGGCCAATCGCGCGCTGGGGGCGGGGTCCGGTTTAGCGGCCGCGGCGGCTCCCGCGCTCCCGGCAACGGCGGCGGCCCCGGAGCGGGTCCGGGCCCGGGGCCACGGTGAGCGGGGACGGGAGGACCGGGCCCGGGGGGTCCCGGCCCAAGGGGAGGCTTCCCTCGGGGAAGGGAGGCTGCGGGGAGTGGTCCTACCCTCCCGCCGCCTGTGGGGTCTGCCGGCTCCCGGCGGTCGCGTGTGCGCTGTCGTGACTTGGGCGAAAAGGGCTTTCTCTTTGCTTTTATTTTATGCTTTATTAGTCAAAGCTGTTTCTCCTCCTCGCCAGCTGCACGTCTCCCGTGGCTCCAGGCTGCACGGGCTGCACTAGCTTTGAATTTCGCTTTGCGTAGAACCAGGGAACGGTTTTGTGGCTTGGAAGGGATCCGCTCATCCAGTTTCACCCCCCTGCCGTGGTTATGGGCACTTTCCGCTATCCCAGGTTGCTCCAAGCCCCGTCCAGCGTGGCCTTGGACACTTCCAGGGATGGGGCAGCCACAGCTTCTCTGGGCAACCTGTGCCCGGGCTTCGCTAGTCTCACAGGGGAGAATTCCTCCTAATATCTCATTTAAATCCCTCCTCTTTTAGTTTAAAACTGTTCCCCCTTGTCCCCATCTATTATAGGTGCCTCTCAAGCACTGAAAGGCCGCGGTAAGTTCTCCCCGGGTGCGCCGAGGCAGCGTCTCCAAGAGAAGAGTGAGCCATCCAGCGCTAATTCCGGGGATGGAAAATGGGGCTGAGTTAGAGCTGGGACGGGAAAACGCGAACGGAAGGCCCTGAGTGAGTTGCTCACATCCAAATGCTCTAACTGGGGACGTTTGCAGGGTGGGGGGTGGGTGTATGAGCCCTGTGATGCTGTTTTGCTTCAGCGTGTCTCGAGGATATCTTTGCCTGGAAACAGCCAGGATTAGTTGCTGCTTCCGAGACTCGTTTTACATAAGAGTTATAAATACGGAGTGGGCTGAGGACAGAGGGAGGTGAAGAGGGCAGCGACGGTTGGTTACAGGCAGTGGGTGGTGATCCTGCTCTGGGCAGTCATCACTGGGGTGTTAATGCTGCCCAGACCCCTGGCAGGTACTGCAACCCCCTGGGTCTCGTGAGTATAGCAGAGGAATGCTTTGTGCATTGAGAACTTGGGGGTTTTTAGGCTGGAAGGTTTGACCTTGTATTTGAGCAGCAGGTCACGGTCCCCTCTGTGCTGGCACTGGCATCTGGCCCCACACACAGTGGCGGGAGGCTCGTGCTGGCCAAAGGTGGCCATGCAGAGCCACAGCTGGGGATGTTTGGGGTGAGGCAATTAAAGTCCAAGTGCCTAAACCTGTGCTGGATGGGTTGCAAGGGCCCAGCTGTGCTGTGGTCTACGAGTTAAATAACGAAGCAATGGGCTACAGGTGGGATGTGTTAAATCAGGACTCTTTTACAGCTTCTGGAGTGTTCTCTGAGAAGGTGGGAGAGGCGAAGGTAAGTAGGGAGAAGCTGCCTTGTCCCTGGGCAGTGCTGATCCAGCCCTGAGACTTCTCTCAAAGCTGAGCTCTGGGAAAGCTGCTTGCTTTCTCTTCCTTCCCTTTCTCCTTTCAGCTTATTTTTTTTTTTCCTGGTTAAAAAGTGCCTGAAGCAAATGTTCATCTCCTCTGTAGAAACTCAGAGGCCTGGGGGATCTGATTATAACTTTGTGCTGCTTCAGCTCTGCTCCTTGTTTCCGCAGCCCCTGGAAGTGTGTGTGGAAGCTCTTTGATTTGGTTTTGCTGTGTGTGCTGCAGGTGGAAGGGCTCTGCCATGTGCTGGGGGACAGGGAACCTTCATTTCTGAGGGCAGTTGTGACATTGTGTTGCTTCCTTCTCGCCCCCAGGTGTGGGAGCCATGGAGAGGGGACTCGTGGCAGGGGCCGTGCGCATCGGGAACCAGCTCATTCTGGAAGAAGATTACAACGATTCCTACGTTCCTGATGAGCAAGGTGAGTGCTGCCTGTCCTGCTGGGAGAAGGGATTCAGGCACACAGGTCACTTCTAGGTGTATTCAGAGAGCGGGAACTGGGGAGGGTGTGGGTGGAGAGGGTAAAATACGTGGAATTTCGCGGAAGACAGGGCTGAAAAATGAGCTCTTTGTTTGCTATGGACACACAGGACCACGCTGGTGGCTTTGAGCAGCTTTGTTTTGGATTTTCCAGCGTGCTCCCTGCTATAGCTGGGAGGGTAGCTCTTCTGTGTAGTGGCTAGTGTAGACTGTCTTCACAGATTCCTCTTGTGTTTTCCCAGAAATCCGGAACTTTGCACCGATAATCGGGATTGACCCCGAGAAGGAGTCAGAGCTGCTGTGGCTGGCCAGGGAGTGCCTGGTGGCCCCGTTACCCCCTGACTGGAAGCCCTGGTGAGACTCTGGCTGCAGCTGTCCTGGGTGGTTCCCAGTCACAGGACAAGGGGGAATGGCTTCAAACTGACAGAGAGGACTTTAGGTTGGACATCAGGGAAAAATTCTTCCCTGTGAGGGTGGGGAGGCCCTGGCACAGGGAAGCAGCTGTGGCTGCCCCATTCCTGGAAGTGTCCAAGGCCAGGTTTGATGCAGTTCTGAGCAACCTGGTGCAGTGGAAGGTGTCCCTGCCCATGGCAGGAGGGAGGATGTTTAAGGTCCTTTCCAACCCAAACCAGTCTATGATTCCTGGTCTTTCCTGTCCTTCCCCTCTGTGTGCTGCCCTGGCATTCTGGTGGTGAGGAGGAGGGATGTTTTACCACAATATTTTACTTCCTGTGGCTGAGGGAGCTCAGGGCTTTTTGGGGTGGCAGAAGAAGGGGGGAAAAACTGTTGGGGAAGCTTGATAAGGTCATGAGCATCCTAGGAGGGGCTGCTTCCCCACACTGATGTATTCTTGGCCTCTTGGAGGCTTCATGCTCCTCTTCCCTGAGCTCCAGGTGGTCAGGCCACCCAGCAAGGATGTTCTGGCCTGTGCAGCTGTGTTTTTATGTGCTCTTCCATCTTTTCACGCTGGTTTTTGCCGTGCAGCCAAGACACCACTGGTGATGTGTATTACTTCAACTTTGCAACGGGCCAGTCCATGTGGGAGCACCCCTGTGATGAGCAGTACAGGGAGCTGGTGATCCGGGAGAGGGAGAAGCTGCTGGCACAGGGCAGCCTGAGGAAGGAGAAGAAAGAGAAGAAGCAGAAGAAAGAAAAGAAAGAGAAGAAGGACAAGAAGGAGAAGCAGTCGCGGAAGCAAACCCCTGTGAGTAGACTCTGCTTGTGGTGCTTCTGGGGAGGGCTGGGCAGAGGGGACACAAAGGGCTTTCTGAACTCAAACCCAGGTGATGGGCAGTAAATCAAGTGAGTTGGCAACACTGAACACAAAATCACCTTTAATTTGGGCTCTAAGGCTCTTTGTAGTAAGCACACTGTGAAGTTGGTCTTTTCCCTGGAGGTCCCGCAGTCTAAACTGAGGGGGAATGGCTTATTCAGCTCTTTGCAGCTTAGTTTTGATTGCTGAATCTCGAGTCCCAGGGTGAGTTGGTTAAGGTGATATGAGAAACCACAAGTTGCAGTCAGCTCTCCTTCATCCGTGGCCAGCACCTTGAGAAATGGACTCTATTCCCTCTTGAATGGAAGAAAAATGGGAGAAAGTTTGAACTGCCTCTTCCACACGGCAGGAGGAGCATTCCCAGTGGTTACTGGCCTGTGGCTTTGCAGGTCTGAGCACGGTTGGGTGGCTGTACCTGTGTCTTAGGACACTGAAGTGACTTACAGGTGTGATGGAACCCATCTGTAATTGTAATTTTCTCCTTCCTCTGGGAATAGCTCAACCATTTTGCTCAGTTTTGCCCAAACTTTTCCCTCTGTTGCCTATCACAGATCCTGCCTTCACCTGGGGAGGACATTCCAGGTTGTTTTGTCTTTGTCCATAAGTAATGGCCTCAATTTAATAAGAACTTACCGAATCTCTTGTTCTGCAGACAAAAATGAACTGAAAGGTCACTGTGTGTAGCATTAATGGATTGCTGTGCTCTGCTGGTGCCCAGCTGTGGCTCCACTGAGTTGCCAGTTCAGGTTTCTCATTACCAGTGTGGTAGTTCTCAGGCAGCTGATAAGAACTATAAATAACAGATAAACTGTAGATTATCCCAAAAGTTTTAATTAGCCTGATGGAAGCACATTTGTCTCTGCTGAAGGACAGTGAACATTCTCTGTTCTGTACGTGTGGTTAGTGGCCATCTGTAGAAAATAATTAGTTTAAGCCCAGAGTGTGATTTATTCTGTTACCATTGCTGTGGTGATGACATTCCCCTGTCCCCATCCATCAGTGAATTAACTCTGATTTCAGTCTGGAATCCTGTGTAGGCACAGGGACTGTGGTTTCTGAAAACACACGTGCTCTGCTGAAGCACCAGCCCTTGGTTGTAGTGCTGTGCCACAGGGAAAACCCTGGAGTGCCACAAGTAAAACCCTGGCATACATGTGCTTCTGGTTTAACCTATGCTGGGTGAGACTCCTGGGATGGGGAATTCCATGCTGTCCAACAGGATGGTCACACTTCTGGGTGATGATAACTTGGGGTGTGAGCATGCATTGCTCAGAGGTGAGGGTGTGGGATGGCTCCCAGGGCTCCTGCTGCCCTCTGAAAGAAAGGAGCATTCTGGTCCCATTCAGATGGGTCTTTGGAAGGCAAAATATTCGAGTAAATCAAAGTGTGTTTCCTCACCTGTCCCGTGTGCTGGTGGCTGTGGGGGCCCCAGGCAGGTTTTCAGCTGGGCTTGCACAGGGGAGCACCTCCTCCCTTTCCAAAGGGAGCTGCACACCTTTGCTCTCCTGTCAGCGAGTCCCCTCTCCGTATTCCAGCCCTTGGGCCCCCACCTGGCCCCCATCCAGCTGCCCCTGGGGACCCTCTCTCCTCTCCGTGGCCTCGCTCCGTCTCAGCCCGTCGTCCTTCGTGGGTCCCCGAGCGTGGGCAGTGTGGTGGACTCCGACCTGATGGCCAGGGAAGGAACACAGGTGAGGCTCCCTCTTCCCTGGAAGGCACACTGCAAAGGCTCACAGGCTGGGGACACTTACAAGCTTAAATGACAGTATTTGTGATCTTCTGTTGGCTTTGAAAGGCAGCTTTTTAGCAGACAGCGGTATTTCTTTTCTATTTCTAGGGGGCCCAGTGCTAAATTAGTGCTGAGCTTTCTTCTGCTATGTTTAGCAGATTTAAAGAAGGAATTGTTTCAATTACTGTGGGGGAAACAAAATCTATTCAGTTTGTTTTAGCAGAACTTTGGTGGGCAAGTGAAGCATGGTGAACAATACAGATAATACAGTCAAATAAACAATACTTTCACTCATCTATTTGAGAATAAAAAATTTAAAAGAACAGTTTTCCTGATAAATGTAAGACTTACAATCATGTCAAACGATTATTTATAGAAACTGACCTTTGGGTCAATAAAACAAACCTGTTAAGTGGTAAGAAATTGATCTTTTAAAGGAAAGCAAAGCAAAATATGTGCAAAACACACAAATAATCACCTTTACAAATAAACAAACCTGTTAAGTGGTAAGAAATTGATCTTTTAAAGGAAAGCAAAGCAAAATATGTGCAAAAAACACAAATAATCACCTTTACAAATAAACAAACCTGTTAAGTGGTAAGAAATTGATCTTTTAAAGGAAAGCAAAGCAAAATATGTGCAAAAAACACAAATAATCACCTTTACAAATAAACAAACCTGTTAAGTGGTAAGAAATTGATCTTTTAAAGGAAAGCAAAGCAAAATATGTGCAAAACACACAAATAATCACCTTTACAAATAAACAAACCTGTTAAGTGGTAAGAAATTGATCTTTTAATGGTAAGTGAAGCAATATATGTGGGAAACCTACAAATCAACACCTTCACTGAAGGTTTTCTCACTGAGTTAAGTCTTGTCACTGGTGATATCAAATATTTTATTGTGGTCTTGCCCGAATCAGTGTTTGGAGGCACAGGAGGGTTTCAGATGTGCCCCCCTAGGACAGGAGCCTCTTTGGCCTCATTAAGAACATCTCTCCCAGCTGGACGTGGCTCTGGCAGCACAAGGGTGGCAGTGAAGTCCTGAGCTCCTTCCCAGATTCTAGCAGCAGCTGCCCAGGGTCTCAGTGGGTTTCCATCTTCCCTTTCCTGTCATCTGTCCTCTCTCTTCCCTTTCTCCTGGCCTGCACAGCTTGCAGAGATCTGTAAGCCCACTGGGCACACCAGGAACCTGCTGGGCTTGCTCTGTGACGACGAGAAGATTTCCCTGGACACGGCGGCTCTGGATAAATGGAGAAACGAGGAGGACGACAGTGAAAATGAGGTAGTTTGTGTGCCTTGGCTCTCAGTGTGTGTGACAGTAACCAGAGTGCACGAAGTCTCATGATGCTTCCCTGGTAATGGCTGCTTGACTGTGGCTGTTCCATTTGCCTCTTGGCTTTAATTTGTGCTGCATTTTCCCTGTGCTGTTCTGTGGCCAGAAAACATCTAAAACCTGTTTTCACATTGTAATCCCCCCAAACCAACACCTACCATGGTGCAATTCCAAAATGAGCTGGCTGTAGGTGTATTGCCATGGCTCTGCTGCCTTATTTCACTGCTGAGGAAGCCTCAGTTTTTCCCGTGGGATCGCAGAGGGCAGGACTCAGTTTTGGCCATCTCCTTCTTTTAACGCTTTTAGAGTTTCCGTGGGACATCAGGACTGTTAAAAAACCTGTACTTGGATGTCGACGCCCTGGGAGGCAGCTTTGACTTTGAGGTAAGACCAGGGGTGATGGGATGGGCAGGTGAAACGGCCCTGCTGGGAGAGGAGCTGAGGCACTGCCAGCACCCAGGGAATGAGGGTGCAGGAATGGTGCCAGAGGGACAAGATTCTTGTGTCACTTAGGAACGACCTGGAGCAGGCTGAAGGACAGGAAGGCACAGCCTCGGGGCTGGGGGTGTGTGAGAAGCCAGACGTGGCCCACAGGGGGCAGTGGGGTGGGTGCTGAAGGCAGGTTTTGTGTTTGGAGGAGGATGGTTGTGGTTTGGTAGCTGGGAGTTGAGGAGACATCTTTGCACTTCGTTTCACTCCAAAGGAGAGAAAACTAAAGCCATGTAGGTGAACCAGGCAAGGTGGAGTCCTGCTCTTCCAGGGAACAGCAGGAAGAGGGTCTCAGGTCAGAGGTGCCACTGCACTTGCTGTGGGAGGAAGGCTCGATGAGGAAGAGGCACACTTTGCTTCCATGTGTTTTTTGGCAGTGAGTGTAGGGAGAAGGCTCATTTTCAGCTGAAGTTGCAATGGTGGCATTGGGGAAAGGAGAAGGGAATGTCCTCTGGGAATGCTCTTGCACTGTCCCTCGGTCCCACAAGGACCTTAATGTGGGCTGCACGTGGCCACTTCTCTGTGGCAACACAAAACCTGTTTTCTTTCTTCTTGCACTGGGGATAAATCCCGTGGCTGAGACACTGAGCATTCAGTGCACCCAGGGCCTTGTGCAGACACTGTGCTTTCCCTGTGCTCTGCCTTAGCCGGGATCAGGCTTAAGATGACAAGGGCACAATGGGAAGTGCGTTGTAAGCAGCTCTGGTGATTTGGCCCGACTGTTTGTGCTGACATTAATCCTTTCTCACCGCTTTGAAAATCCTGTTCCAGTATCTGAAAGGCAAATTAATTTCTTTTAAAGTGTTTTAGAGTATTTGCCTTATCCTTTTCACAGCACACGAAAATTAAGCTGTAAAGTACTTTGCTGGAGAACCCATTCAAGGTGCTGGGCAGGATCTGTGAAGGCTTATGCTAAAGTGGATGTGACAAAGAGAGCCCTGACTCTCTCATCTCCAGACAACAAGCAGCCTGTGGGGGCCCAATTCTTCACTGAAATGTTAATGTGTGCAGGAACAAAGAGCTGTCTTGGCGTGTCAGTGCCCTGGGAATGGGGCTTCAGGAATCTATTATGGAATGGCAATTGCTGCCCAACAGCCAGGCTGTTAACCCAGATGGGTGATGTCCTAGTCCTGATAAGATAGCAGTGCCCCACTGGAAAATAGAATTCTTTTGTAGTTCCATGAGATGGCAGTAGAAAAGCATTCCTGGGAGCGAGGCTCAGACTGTTCCCGAGCCACTCTCCAGCTTCCTTGCAAAACAGAGCAAAGGGTTTGTGTAGCAAGTCCTACAGGGGGAAGTCTAAGCAGCAATGGGTGAATTAATGAAAAAACTGACTTCGTGTAGCCTGTGGTCAGGATTGAGTGTCTGTGTTCAAAGGAAATATGTGGTTTTAGTGCCTTGCAGAGACGGGATGTTGGGTGAGCGGAGGCAGCATCAGTGTCTGGGAAGAGAGGGAGGAGAGGTGGATGTTCCCCCCTCAGTGGGCATTTCTGGAGCAAGGAGTGGGTTAACTGGGGCAAAGGCACTTAAAATGAAACCCAGGTCAGATGCTGGAGAACTTGGGGTGTGAGGTGTGTGCAGTAGTCTGAATGTCCCCTTGGAAAGAGGGTCTCTCCCAGAGCTCAGTGTGCTCGGCTGCCTGTGGGGTCAGCTCTCCCCTGGACCTGCTTTCCTGCCTTCTGGCACCCTGAGTCCTCCCTGCAGGCATGGGAGACTCTTCCCTAAGATACAAAAGGGCTTGGGGATAATGCTGGAAGGGGCAAGAGGAGAAATCGGTCTGGCAGCACCTCTGGGTGCCTGGGGAGAGTCCCGTGGCAGCAGAAACGATCCCCTGTGGCAGTGCTGGCACCTTGGCATCAGTCTCTGGGTAAATGCTGGGAATCAAGGGGGTCCTTTGTGTTGGGAAATTACCATTCCTGACTTCTTTACTAGCTGGAGGGTGGAAGGGAGCTGCCTCTGCACATGAACATAGAGCAGTACAGCTGGTGTGTTCCCACAGGGATGGAAGCAGTGCTGCTGCTTCCCAGGAAACACATCCCTGGGATACCAGCCCAGGGCTGACTGGTGTGGGGGGAGGAATGGCTGCTGGGTGTGTAGCCTTGCTGTCCCCTGTGCTGGGGGAGTGTGGAGATAAAGCTCACAGGGAGTCTGGAGCTGGGAAGAGTGTTACAGTGTGTGACTCTCCCAGCTTGGAAAGGTGGCTTGGGCACTTCTGCAAGTGGCTGTGTCACCCCCTCCTCCAGGAGAACAGCGAGGCAGAGCAGGAGAACCCCAGCAGCCCCCTGGCTGATGGTGCTGATCCCCCTGGAGCTGCTCCCCAGCACCCTGGGAGTCCTGTGGAGGATGCTGGCAGCCTGGCAGAGGTGATGGTGGCTCTGGCATCTCCCTCCTGCTTGCACGGTGTCACTGAGCTTTTGCATGCAGTAGGCAGCTTCTAGTGTTGTGGTTGCATCTGGTGACTGCTTGTCTTGTTTCTTTTGCTGGTTAAAGTGTTATGTGCATGGAGAGAGGTGTAAATGTAAAATCCAAGGGCAAACACTGCCCAGATATGAGCTGTGGCATTCCTAACCCCCTCTCTGTGCCTGAGAACAGCCTGGAATCAGGGAGCAGGAAGGGAGCACATCACCCTTCAAAGTTATTCTCCATGCAGTATGAGATTTGTTTCCCAATTTTTCCTTTTAAAGGTAGAAAAAATGTGACATTTGTTGTACTCTCACCTTCTGCATGGTAAAGTGCAAGTGTAGCAGGTCATCCTTCTTTCTGAGTTGAGTTGGACTAAGTTTTGGTGGGTGCTGTTTATCCTGATTGTTCACTTCTGGATCACGTGTCTTTCCCAAACCTGGTCCTGTTGGTATCAATGTGCTTTTCTCCAGACTTATGACAATCACTGGGAGTAATGGTTTGGTAGGCAGGAATTTCCCATCATTTAGTGCCACTCAGTGCACGTTAAACATGTTGCAGCTTGTGAAAAGATCAGTGAAAGCCAATTATGACCCAACTGACTTGTCCCAGCTCTGAAATCCATAGAAAATCCATAGTCTGTTGCAGGAGGAAAACCTCCCTCCTCTTCTTCCACCTCTGTCTCTGACTGGCACAGTTCCCTCTTCTGGAGAGTTGCATTTGTGATCATCAAGGTGTAACATTAACAAAAGTTTTTGTCTATAACTGCTCTTAAAATAGGATTCTGCCAGCTAAAGAAATTATTCTGGGATATTTTAGTAACTGAAGTGAACTTGCCTGGAGAGAAACCCTGTTGTGTGCACAGTATTAGTGCTACACTGCTCTGTTCTGTTGTGCCTGTGCACTTCTCAAGCATCAAAATCCAGCTTGGTCTCATGTGATATCCTGGATGCTGTCAGGTCTCCTGGTGGGATGTCCTCAGGAGAACTCTAAAGCAAGTCTGTCCAAGAGGAGCCTACCTTTCCAGCCACCCTAATCCCCAGATAAAAGGAAGCACCATGAGAGCTCCTCCGCTGGAGCAACCCTAAAGAAATGGCCCTTGCACACCTTTCTCTGGGTTTTGATGTCACTGAGACCTTCTCAGAGCCTGCAGGGGGACTGCAGGGTGACTCTGGGGACCTCTGCCAGCCAGGCACTGCTCTGCACAGGGGCCACGAGCTGTCACTCAGCACAGGGAGTTACTGATGAGGCTCAGAACTGCAGGTTTTTTGGGAAGGGCCCGGTGATTGGATTTCCCTGGCCTCTCCAGCCGTGATGGATGGCTCCCCCGGCCCCAAGGAGAAGGTCTCACAGACAAATGGCACGCCAGGGAACGTGCCCCAGCTCCGGGCCTGGAGCTGCCGGCGTTCCAGCGGCACTGGGATAAAAATACCCCGTTAAAATATGCGCTGGGTGTCCGGGACGCGCCGTGCGCGGGATGAGGGGATGTTTGACGAGACACCGCGGCATTAATAAAACAGTGAGAAAGCGGGACGTGCGAGCAGGGCTGTTTGCATGCTGATGAGGGAACCTTCTCCTGCTCCCTCCTGGCTACTCCGCTCTCCACAGTGGGTGTTGTGGCGTCCCCGCTGCTGGGAGAGGCAGTGGAGCCTTTGGGTGACTAGGCTTTAATTTGGGGTTGCTTTCTTCCCCAGGCCGGTGGGTTCTGCCATCTCTCAGCCTCCTGTGTTAGTCACAGGCTTGTTCTGAGCTTCAATCAGTGCCCACCTTCAAGTCTGTACTGCTGGAAGGTGGGATGATGGTCCTGCCTACTGTTCTCTGCTTAAAACATGAGACAGAAGTAGAATGGCCAGTCTCTAATGGCAATGGCCAGTCTCTAATGGGAATGTCTCTAACTCATTCCCATCTCTTACTGAACAGATCTGACGTGGAAGCATAAATGGGTCTGCTGTGGAGCACATGGGGTGCTGCCCACTCTTGTCCACTGAGACCCTGTGAATAAAAAAAACAACAGATGAAAAAACCTAAGTGAGAGCCCAAGAAATGAATGAGATTATCTCAATGAGGTTCCTTGTTTTGGAATGGGACTGTGTGAAAAGAAGTCAAACAGGTCTCAAAGTCACCCAAAGCTTTGTGATTTTTTTTTTTTTTTACTGCTTGCTGTAGGAGAGCCTGTGCTATTCCTGACCCCTGCATCCCCCCAGAGAGAATGTTGTGGCTATAATTGTGTTTGACTTGCTGCCTAGAAGGAATCTTTAAAATCAAGACATGCCGAAGAAGTGCAAGAGTCTTCCTTGGATTCTGATGCTGCGTGCCCTCCATCTCCAGTTCAAATCCTTCCTGGAGATGCTGACAGCAGCCTGTCTGGCCAGAACAAGGAGGACTCTGGTGGGGAACTTGCTGGGGATGAGGTACTGGACAAAGATGATGTTGAGGTGGAAGGTGACGTCCCTGCAGCTGAGGAGCTGCCCCAGTCTGTGGGGGAAAGGAGCACAGCAAGGATGGATGTGCCCAGCGGTCCTGGACAGCCTGGAGCTGCTCCTGCAGCTGTGGAAGGTGCCGAGGAAGATCAGCTGGGGAGCCTGGCTGCCACTGCTGACACCGTGTCCTGTGGAGAAAAGATGGTGGATGAAGTGAGGGAAGAAGCAGCAGCTGATCCAAAAACAGAGAGCAGGCTGGATGCTGGTGAAGTAAGAGACCTGCCTGCATGGTTTGGGGTTGGTGTTGGCTCTTCCTGTCGTCTCCTCAGGCCCTGACTCAGGAAAGCCCTTGGGGCACTGCCTCGTTTTCTGTGGAGTCAGTGCAAGTGCTTTCCTGGTCAGCAGGGTGTTCCTGGGGGGGCACAAAGTGCTCTGAATTTCCAGACTGGCGTTCCAGGATCGAGCTAGGCAATCCTTCTCTCCTGCACGCACCAAATGCTGTCCAAAGCCACTGACAGGCAAAACCTTCAACTGCGAGGCGTGTTTTGAGTCTTGGAGGAGAAACAATCTCAGCTTCCAGCGCTGCCGTCTGTCCTGAGCGAGCAGGTTTGAGGATGGAGCTCACGCCGAGCCCAGCTGTCCGTGCTGCTTTGTTTCCCTCCTTCTGTTGTTTCTCTCAGCTTGTGCAGCGCTGGGGCAGGGCTGTGAAGCGAGTGCCAGCCGTGAGATCCGCGGCGGATGCGACGGGAGCTGCGAGGTCGGAGCGGGGAAGGAGGGAGCCCTGGGGCTGGCTCTGGAGCTCTCCTCTGAGCACAGAACCTCCCAGCCTGCCCACTCTGGGAGGAGAACTGGCCACAGCCACTGGGGACCCGGGGGGGTTGGGTTTGCAGCCTGACAGGAGGCACCGAGTGTCACAGTGGCCTGGCCCCGCAGCTGGGCTGCCAGACAGGCACTGTCTGCTCGTGGTTGTACTCCAGAATAGGATCTGAGTTAGGGTATGGGCTCTGATGAATGATCTCTTTCCAATCTGGCTGCCTTCCTGCTGATTTTGATGATTTCTCTAGTTCATTGATGCGTGATGTCTGTAAGAAATGATAAACCACAAAGCCGAGCCTGGAAAACGTACTCTGTCCTGAAGAGCTTAGAGTTGAAAGCATTGCTTTTCCAAGCACCTTCCCTGGGTGCTTCTGCACCTGAGTTGTTCTGCTGAAGTCAACAGGGCCACGGGGTGTTCCCACTGAACAGTGGCTTCATGATTGTGGGAACGTAGCAACCCTCACTGCACTTAGGCACAGCAAGATGAGCTTTTAAAGTGCTTTTAAGAGACCCTGGTACTGTTCTGGTGGTGGGCTGGGAGCTCTAAGAGCTGCAGACATCCTTGCAGATGGAGAGGAAGCAAGTGCCTTTTATCAGGGGTGTTTGAAGAGCACTTCTCTGCCCTCCCCAGTCCCATCTCCTGCCCCTACCTGTGGTGTTTTGTGCTTGTCTTGTGGATCATACCCTTAGTGTCTGGTTCAGTCACCTCGTGTTTCCCGTGTTACAGAGGGGACAGATTTGTGTTCCCAGTGCCAGTTGTCGTGTTGGGAATGCCCAGGTGAAGCTGCAGGGGTAAGACATGTACAGGCTGTAACGTGCATTCTCCTCTCAGCTTTCAAAGGCGTCGGAGATCAGCGGGGAGGACCTGCATGTCTCCAACGGCTCCAACAGGGAGCTGGCTCAGCCTGTGGTGAGTCACCAAAAACTCCTTGTCCCTTGGGTGTGGGGCTTCAGGTTCCTCTGGGATCGTGCAGCCAGGGAGTGCTGTGCCTGCCTCTTGCAGTGCCCTCACAGCTGTGGCACAGGCCAGCAGTGTCACCCTGCCCCTCGCAGATTGGGTCTGTGGGTGAGGCAGAATCCCTGGAAAAGTAGGTCACACAGAGCTGGGACTGTGCTCAGATAATTGCAAAAAGGAAAATAATAAGCAGGGTAAAAATTGTGCTTTAAGGGACTCGGTAGCTTTTGCTTAGGGGGGTGTGTGTGGCTGGGAGACCTGGCTCTGGAGGGTGCCTGTGGGAGGGCAGGCAGGAGAGAAGCCCTGAGATGGGGGGAGATGCCCATCAGCATCTCTTCATCTCCACAGGAAGCTGCCATTGCCATCTGCCAGTGGGAGCAGAGGCAGCATGGCCAGCAAATGGCTGAGAATATCATTATTTATCGGGGTTGGTACAAGCCTGTGTTGGCAAGTGGCTCTGCCTTGTGCAGTGCTTGCCCACGGGCACGTGTGTGCACACACTGCCCTGTGCAGCCAAGTGCAAGGACCCCCACAGACTCTGCCAGGAGGGAGGATTGTCTTGGAAGATGAACAGCCTGTGGGAGCTGACTTTTAGGAAAAAATGAGAGGAAATGAATAGTATCATAAAGGGGAGCAGCGGAGGCTGGGGGAAGACGTGTGCCCTTTGGCTGTACCACGTGTCACCCCTGCCTGCTGTGGCCAAAGTGGAAGGGTGCACTGGGAGTGTGGCAGAGCTCTCGGTCCCACAGTGTCCTCCCTGTGTGGCATTGATGTCCCTGGACCCCACAGGGAGGGTTTCCTTAGGGACCCAGTGAGGGGAACTGCTGCTGAGCTGCTGTCAGTGGGGTGGGGAGTGGGGATTCCAAGCCATGGCAGGAGTTTGGTCTCAGGATCTCTGGCAAACCCTGTGTGTTCTCATCAGACACTGATCCTTTTCTGCTTTCTTCTTTAGGTGTTGGGCTTCCAGAGCCAGCTTCCTGAGGAAGTACTGGATGCAGGGGCTCCTGTCTTAGGCAGCCCCGTGTGCAAGGTGAGCTGTGTGTGTGTGATCAGGGGTGATCTGTGAACAGGCAGGTGAAATACTGGGGTGAGATGCACCACCAGTGTGATGCTGTCAGTGTGAAGGCTCTGCAGAGGTGAACAGTGAGGTGTCAGGGATCAGAGCAGCACTACCAGGGCACTGTTTTTGCTGCAGAGATGAGGTGCACGAAGCTATATAAAGAACATAAACCTTGAGTAGGGGATGGCTTCAGGGGTGCACACGTGCAGGCTCCCCTGTGTGCTTTCCCTGCCCCAATGAGTGTCAATAAATGGCTTTCCTGGGGAAAGATGGAAGTAGAGTCTATTTTACTTTCTTCTTTTGTGGCTATATTCGTCCTTTTCTTTCACTTAAGCAGATAGGAAGGATTTGTGTAGCAGAAACACGATAGAATCAATGGGAAGAAAAGGAGGTTAACTCCCTCTGACAGATTTTGGTAGAGGGAAGCTTATTTTTAAGCATTTGGTTTGCCTTGCCTGCTTTCATGTGGAGGGAAAATGGGCTCCTTTCAGGGAGTCTGTGGCACTGTGTGAGCATATGCCTGTGCTCCTATGCCGTGTTAGCCTGGGATGCAGCAGTGGCTGGGCAGTTCTGACTGGAGGTTGCTGTGCATCTCGGGTTTACCCTTGTCTTCCCAGCACGTTGCCAAGTTGGCTTCCTGAGCCCCACGTTCCTCTGGAGCTCTCCCACTCCATCCCGGCTGGCTGGGAGCGCCGTGGAGGGCAGGATCCAGCTGGGGTTACTCAGCCTTGTGCTGATTGTGAGTGATCAGCTGCTCTGGAGGAGACCCTGAGTGGCAAACTCCCCACCTGTCCAGCAGAGAGGAGCAATCCGGTTTGTGAGGTTGTGTCTGGAGGATACACCTGTCCTCTTGTGCCTAATAATGAGCATAATCAGATGTGAAGGGAAAACAAAACATATGCCTGCTGTGTTCCCCCTCTCCCTCCCTGCAGTGCAGGCACTGTGCATGCAAATGCTTGCTGGAGCAGCCACGTTGGAGTTTATTACAGCCCTGTTTGGGGAGGGCTGGGTGTGAAATGGTGCTCCCTGCAGAACTGCAGCTGCTCTTTTGTGTCTGTACACAGAGGCTCGGCTGGAATGACTCTGGTTGTAGGAATGTGCCTGCTTCCATGTGTAAGGAGCCTGCCTTGCTTTGAATGTACTGGCAAAATGTTCTGTTGTTAAAAAACGACACCTCTGGAAGCTCCACGAGCACAGAATGGGAGGGGTTTGGTTGGTGTGTGTCTGGCAGGAGCTGTGGTGGCTGCACAGGCTCTGTGGGATGTGTCCTGCTAGACCTGGCTGCTCTGCTGGCAGAGGGAAGGCTGCTCCTTCCACCCTTCCCCTACCAGAGACTGAAAGTGCAAGATGCAGATCATGGAATGTAGAATATCCTGGGTTGGCAGGGACCCACAGGGATCACACCAAGTCCAACCCCTGGCCCTGAACAGGGCAGCCCAGCAATCCCACCCTGTGCCTGAGAGCGTTGTCCAAACACTCCCTGAGCTCTGGCAGCCTTGGGGTTGTGCCCACTGCCCTGGGGAGCCTGGTCAGTGCCCAAACTTCAGGACAAAGGCAAAGCTGTGTCTGCAATGCTCAGTGCTGGCACCTTGCTGTGCCCAGGGGGATGGGGGTGAGGAGTGGGATGAAGGCATGATCCGAGCTGATGTGAGATGCTCCTGCTGAGTCCCTTGGGATCTGTGCTGTGCAGAGGGAAGAGATGGCCCAGGGTCTGTCATTCCTGTTCACACAACTGATTTTGTGTCTTGAGCGTGTGAGGTGTCCTCTGGGGATGCAGCTGGGGCAGGAGGGGCAAGGATCTGACAATTCCACAGACAGGGCTTAAAATCTGCCCTCATTTGCTGCAGACAAGTGCTGTCTTCACCTTCCAAATGTGTCCAGAGATTCCTGCAGCCCATGATTCCTGGGGAGGGGCTGCCCTTTGGGGTAGAGGGGCAGCAGAAGGCCCATGCCTGGGCTCAGCAGAGGTGCTCTGTGACTGTTATCCTTCTCCATTTGTCTGGCTCCTTCCCGTTCCCAGGCAGCAGTGACAGAGCCCATTTTGAGCGAGGAAACATTTGCTGAGCTCCTCGTTCCCGGGAATTGGAGTCATTAGTTACAGGGGCAGGAGGGGGGCTGGGGGTGGGGGGCTGCTGGAGAGCTCTGCCCAGGCTGATGTGATGGAAGGTGACAGCACTTGCAGGGAATCCTTCTGCTGTTTGCTCCACTGAACATTTGCATAAATTACTGCTGTTTTAATTCTGTGTTGTTTTGGCCCTGCTCCACGCACAGGAGGGGCTGGGCTCACCTGCTGGGTCTGTGGCCACCAAGAATTTATGAATGGGATGTGTTTTTGGGGACCCAAACTCTCAGCAGGGAGGGTGAGCCCTCGCTGCCTCCTGTGGAGCTGGCAGGTGAGGAGGGAAGTCCTTTCCCTTCCCCTGTGCTGTGGGGACAGAGGGATCTGGGAGCTGGCAGGTGGGGAAAGGAGCAGGTGATGCTATTTCACATTCAAATGTTGGCTATTCATATTTCCAGTATTTCCTGTGTCATAAATAAGCCAACTGAATGCTCAGGGTGCTGCTCAGGGGGCAGCACCCACCCTGATGTGTCCTAGAGGCAGAAATCCCTGGATTTCTGTGTGTGCTGCCCAGCACAAGCTGCCCTAGAACCAGGATGGGAGGCAGGACTGAGCCCTGATGTGATTCTGGTCCCAGCCAACACATCAATTTGTTTTATGGCCCCACCACGTTAGTTTGTGTGTGACATTTCTCTTTGGGGAGATTTTTGTCCTACATTTTTCAGGAAGTTTAGTGTTACTTGGGAATGTGAAATGACCTTCAGGTAAAAGCCAAACCTGTGTCCCAAGTGCTTAGTGCTGGCAGGGAGTTCATCTTCTGTACTGAGACAGCTGAGCTCCCAGGCCTCTTGTGCTTCTGGAAGCATTCCTGCAGGGCATTCCTGTGATGTTTGGAGCCCCTTGCTTACCCCCAGGAGAGGAGGCTGGCACATCCAACATTCTGGAACAGCCTGTGGATCTGTGTGGTCCCTGGGCTCAGTGCTGATTCCATGGACCTTCAGCAGAACCCCCTGTAAGGTCTTTAATGGTGAGGGAGCCACAAACTGCACCCTGTTTGCTTTTACCTGCAGGCCCAGGAGCTGGGAGAAGAGGAAAAAGACCAAAGCAAAGCCAGTACAGAGGAAGAGCAAAGCAAAAGAACAAAAGCTCCTGAGAGGTATGATTCAAACAGAGCAACTCAGGAGGCATGGGCAGCTCTGGCTCCTGGTGCCCTTCCTGCCTTGTCCTCCCTGCTCTGCTCACTGTGACCTGAACAGGAGTCCCCTGTACAACACCCTGAGGTGCTGCAGCTTCTCACAGGGTCTTTCCCACTAAACCTCTCCCTTCTCCTGCCACCCCCTCAGCACTCTCTCAGCACCACTTCTGGCTGGGTGAGCAGTGAAACTGCCTGTCCATCATTTCCTGGTGGCTGCTCCAGCTGTGGCTCTGCCTTCTGTCTCCCTTACAGCTCCTCTGTCTCCCTTACAGCTCCTCTGTCTCCCTTACAGCTCCTCTGTCTCCCTTCCAGCTCCCTGACTGCTCTAGAAAGCTCCAAAAGTCACGCTCTTGCCAGGAGGGTCTGAACCTGTTCATGCTGTGCTGGACCCTGTGGTGTTGAACCAGGGAGGATGTGGTCGTTGGCTGTTGCCTGATGACTCCTCTGGTTCTGAGTCAGCCCCTCGTTTCAGCACTGGTCCTGCTGGGCTGCCAGCTCCCCCCTGGGCAGAGCCTGTACCTGAGGGCTCTCAGGGCCAGCCTGGCACCTTTTTGTGGTGCCAGGAGAGTCCAGCTCTGATGTGAACAGTTCTCTTCTCTCTAGGCCACTACAGAGGTGACCTGGACCAGGTGTAAGCATTAAGCTGTTTTATATCCTGGTATGTGGACAGCTCACCAGCTGTTGCCCCAAGAGGAATGCTGGCTTCCCGACCCTCAGTTACCATGAGGACTAGGCTGTCTAGCAGAGCTGTTTTCAGCCTGTTTGTGGTGATTTGTTTAAAACTGTGCTAAGCAGTGAGCTCCCTGCTCCCTCGAGCCCCTCCTCCTTGGAGAGCTGCAGTGTGGCATTTACAGATGAGCTGTGTCAAAGCTCTTGGCCTCCACGCAGAGTTACATGTTCTCCAGGGCTCTGGGAACCAAGGAGCTGTTGCCTGTGCCAGGAAAACTTGTGAGCAGAAGAAACTGCAGCCCATCTTAATGATTGGCTGAGTGACATGGGATTTGCAGCCTTGTTCTTGGAGAAGCTGTTTGTGTGAGGGTCCCCAAAAACATGTTCTGCCTGCAGGAATTCTCTTTATCACTTGATACCTGCTTGCCAGCTGAGCATCCTCTCCTCTCTGCCTGTAAAGCTGCTTGTGCTTGCCTTGTCTTTCCTTTCTGTACTTCCAAGATGAAGCAGGGCTGTAGATACAGACATGCCTGCCAACACTTCCATCTGTAATTTAGACAGCAGTGTGAGTGTTGCTGATAGGGCTGATGTACCTTGGGGACATTCTCCAAGAACCTGGAAAGGGGGGGCATAACCCAGGGAAGGCATCCAGCATTTTGAGACCGGCACCTGTTACATCCTCAGCTGCCTGTTAGTCTGATATGAGGTGGTGGGAATGGTGTGGAGCTTCCCTGTGGCTTTGGCAGCCCCGTGTTGGGTGTTTGTGTCCTGTTGGCAGCTGTGGCTTGGTGCCACCTCTGTCACCTGTGTGTCCCGTCATCCCCTGCCTTGTCCACCTGCAGCAACCACTAGACTGAGCTGAGCTAACGTGGCCTTCTGTCCCCTCTTTTTGTGCTGCAAAAGCGAGAGGGATCTCGGTGCTTGTGAAACACCAGAGGAGTGTTTGGGTTTAGAGAACCCCGATGGGGAGGAGGCGGCGGCCCTGGAGCGGGAGGAGGGATCGCTGGGCAGCCCGATGGATCCAGAGGAGCTGTCTGCCCCACGGGACACGTAAGGGCTTCCTTTCGGTCGCTGGTGTCGTGATTGTGACAGCTTGTGTCCTTTTGTCCCCCTCTGTGCTGGCTGGGGCTCGCGTGTGAACGGGAGCTGCGGTTTGGTGGGCACGGCGCAGCTCCGTGTGCACATCCCAGCAGCTGTGCTGCTGTGGGGGTGCCAAGCGAGCAGTCTGTGCTGGGGAGGGCCAGAACAGCAGCTCAGCCCTGGGGGTCTGTGGCTCAGGACTCTGGGGTGAGAAGGAGCCGTGTGCCCTGTCTTTGGGAGAACCTCCTCCGTGCCGGTGTCGCTGGCGAGGCCACGAGTGCCACCCTGCCTGAGAAAGGCTTTGAGTGGTGCTGAGGTGGGGGGGGCAGCAAAAACCCAACCAGTCACCCCAATTTTACAGCCACTAGGAACAGCATTGAAATAATAAAACACTGAGGTCAGAGCTCCTGCCCGAGCCACCCTTCTGTTGCTGCAATTCCGGTGGTATTTGTGGATCCGTAGCTGCAGCTCCTCTGTGACAGAGGAGCTCAGTCCCTGTGATTGTGCTGACTTTGCATTCTGTGTCAGATGACACATCAGCAGATGCAACTGGAAAAATTAGGCAGCGTCTCCTGGGACGAGGTGGGGGAGAAGGATCTGTGCTGTGGAGGCCTGTGCAGTGTCTCCCCTGTTCTGCTGGGAATTGTGGTGCTGTGCAAACCCGTGTGTGCTGGATCTCCTTTGGAGCAGGAACTGGGGCAAAAGGAAGAACATGATGAAAAGGTGGAAGTGGCTGAATTGCTCTGCAGAGCAGCCTGATAAAGGACACCTGCTGCAGGTGGCATTATGGGGAGCACCAGTGAAGCAGGATTTTTGCAGAACTCCACTACCTTCCTGTCTTGTTCTTTTTGCTAATGGCTGCAGAAGTGACCTTTTCTGACTCGAGGCTCTATAACTGGGGCTGTTATTTCCCTGATTCCTGGCAGAACAGAAGTCACTCTGCCTTATGCTGGCAGTCTCACAGCACAGTGAGACCTTCCTGCTCCAGCCTGCACTAGCAAAGAATGAAAATTTTTCTTCATACACTAATCTCAATTTTCCCCTCCTTCCCCTTCAACCTCTCTCAGACCTTATAATTTTGCTGCTGTCTGTCTGAAAAAAAAAACTTAATTAGAACCAGACTGGGTTTGAATTTTTGGAGTGCTGGGGGCTTTCTGTTGCCTGGAGTTGGCAAACTCCCAGCACACTTCAGGTTGCAATTGCAGAGAAATACCTTGTCCATCAGAAGCACCAATCCCTGGGCTGGAAGCAGGTGCTGGTGGCATCTGCTCCTGTGCCTGCCAGCCTGGCCAGGGCTTTGTAGCTACTAGATCCTTCATGATCTAGTATTGCCCTCACAAGGTGAGCTCTGGTGGGCCAAAATCCGAGTTATTCAGGAGTGCTGCTGGGGCTGGGTCTCATTTATCAGTCAGAGCTGATGATGCACCAGTGGTGGGCCTGAGTGAGGCTTCTGGAGTAGGAGGTTCTGAGATTTTTGGGGTTTTTTTTGATACTCTTGGAGGGGATGTTGCTGTTCCTTTTGTGTTACTCCATTTTCTGTCGCCCTTTTGCCAAAGGACCTTTCTCTCTTTGGTAGGCAACCTGAGGAGGAAATCAAGGACCAGCAGTCCTTGAACCAGCCTAAAGAAGAATCCCTGGAGGAAAGAACCAAGAATGTGGAGACAGAGCTTGAGCAAGAGGAAATTCATTTATTTCAAGCAAAGGAGGAGAAAATTCAGCAATTCCAGGAGGAGACAAGGCAGGAGGAGGAAGCAGAGAAGCTTGATCAGCAAAAAGAAAAATCCCTCAGGTACTTGCCTTTTTTTACTCCACCTCCCCTGAGCCTTTCCAAGCTGGGATTTCATTGCTCCTGGCCACAGACCTGTGCTGTGGTAGCCACCACCTTGGAAGTGGTGCTGCTTCCCAGAGGTGTGGGAAAGGAGCAACATCCAGGCTCTCAGGGAGGAGGAGGAGTGTGGGCCTCGGACAATCCTGTGCATGAGGATCTGCACACCTTGGGATGGACAGTGCCCTGCTGTCAGAGCACAGGCAGCCTCAGGAAAGAGCTCTCCAACACTGACAGGAGAGCATCTTCCCACCTCCTGTGAGATGAGCTCTGATTCCATGCACACGCAGCCTTTGGAACTTGTCTCTTATGTTTAACCTGGGAGAAGTTTCCAGTTCAGTGCTTGGAGCTTTGCCACCTGGCAGATGTTCAAATCCTGGGCTAAATGGTCGTAACAGGACTGGAAATGGGAGCGTTAGAGGAGATGAGGTTACCCCAGAGGGTCTATCTGGAGCTCTGATGCTGCATGTTTTACAGAGGGACTTCCAAACAAGGCTCCCAGGAATAGGGCAGAAGGGATGGCTGTGTGAAACCCAGGATCTGAGAGCAACACTGGGAGCTGTGTCCTTTCCCTCGGGGAATTTTTCTCTCGAGGCTTGTATATTATTTTGGTGGACTTGATACTTATGTTCTTAGCACCCTGAGCAGCCAGAAACAGCATCTTGACATGAGATGTCCTGGGGATGCAGTCTGGGTGTGAAGGAAGATGCAGAAAATGCACCTGAAGGGGAAAACGTGTAGTAAAAGATGTCATGTGGAAATAGGGAGCTTCCAGATGTACTAATGCATCCAGGTACCTTGCCTGGGAGCCTGCATCCATTTAATGAGAGTTGATTTCATTTACCTGCAAAAAAATCCCCAAACTAAGTGCAGCCTGTGATGATATGGTGTGTTTTAAAACCACACTGCTCAGGTGTGATGCTGGGGCTGCATGTCCTGTGCCAGCAGCAGGTCCTGCAGGTGTGGGGGAAATGAAAGATCTGGAGGCCTGAGAGAGCATAATTTGGGCAGATACAGCCAAGTGGGAGCAGCAGCTGAGCTATAGCCCTTGGGGAGGTGATTGGAAGGTTTTAAAACCTCCTGAACCTTTTTTCTTTTTCTTTCTGGCCGCTCATCTCCCAGGACTCCAGAAGAAGACTTGGCAAAGGTTTCTGAGGAGGAAGAGCTGCGTGTCAGAGAGGAAGAAGCTGAGAGACTGGCGAAGCTGAGAGCCAAGATCTCCTCAGAGACGGAGGCAGAGGAGGAGAGGATGAGGTGAGAAGTTGTGCTGCCATCCCCGGGGATACAAACCGGGCTGGGCTGGGAGGGAAGGATCTTGCACGCCACCAGCAGCTGCTCAGAGTGGAGGTTCAGAGCTGTTTCCCTGCCGTGGCAACAGGTCCGAGCCCTGACTGGGCAGGACCGAATCCTGACTTCTGTGTCCTTGTTACAAACCTACCAGGGCAGAGCAGGAGGCCACGCTGCAGAAACTAAGGGAAGAGTGGGAATCCCAGCAGCTGAAGGAGAAGGAGAGCCTGGAGAGGAAGCAGCAGCTTGCCTTGGAGGAAATGAAGGTGGAAATGGAGGAAGCCCAGCGGAAAGAGATCAGGGAGCTGGAACGAGAGAAGGAACAGTTCCTGAGCGAGGTCAGGGAGAGGTTAGACAGGGAGAAGAAGAAGGTGAGATCTTTGTTACAAATCAGGGTCAGCCCCGAGCTGTTCCTGCTGACCTGGCTGGCATTGCAATGCTGAAACGCTGGGATTTAAATCACACCTGTGTGTTTATGATGCACTTAAAGCACAAAGGGAAGGTACCAAGTGGGCTGTTAGGGGCACACTGAGGAGGGGAGAACTCCCCCAATTGTTATTACAGTGGTGATGAACTAACAATTATTTAAATAGCCACGTTTAATTTGAAGACAAGAGCAGGATAGTTGTGTGTCTTGCTAAGCTAAACCAAGCTCTGTTATCAGATCAGAACTAAATGAAACCACTTTATCAGCTCCAAACACCACTTTGGGTACAGCTTTAGTCCTCTGGGGACATGGGGAGTCCTTGAATGGGGCAGTTTCTAGTTTTTTGAGCACAGCATGATTGAGATCCATCGAAATCCCCTGGGAGGGGGAAAGCACAGAGAGAGTAAAGGCACCTTGTACGTGATCCAGTTTGGAAGGGGGTTACCATTGTTCTTTTTGATGCTTATGGATAGAATTTAATTGCAAATCCATCATGTCCCCAGACTTTTTTGCTCGTGTTTCCATAGGCAGTAGAGGAGCTGGAGAAACAGTTTGCAGGTGAACTCCAGCAGCTGAAGTCTGCAGCAGAAGAGAAGCATCGTGAGGTAAAGACTTAGTATGTAAAATGTTAGTCCTTAGTATGTCCTTAGTATGTAAATTGTTGGGTTTTTCCTCACACACTGTCACCAAAGGTGGCCAGGGAGGGCGGCATTAATTTTTTTTCCACTTCCTCACCGTGGTTCTGGTCTGGCTCAGCATTTGGCCATGCTCCAGGCAGGGGGTGGTGAGACTGCAGGCAGGGCTCTGCCGTGCTGCTGGCTCCCTGTAGGAGGGCACTGAATGGAGCCTGTCGGAAGGGTGACGAGTCTCTGTGGGTGGCTTTCATGGCAGGTCATTTCCAGCCTGCAAACCCAGCTAGCAGAGGCACAGAGCAGCCAGGAGGCTCAGCTGCGGGAAGACTTGCAGAGAGCGGGTCAGAAAGTGCAGCAAAAAGCCTTCCAAGTGAAGGAATACGAGCGGGAGGTGAGTGTTCACCCACCTTCTCTCCCCAGGGTGTGGTGAGGTCTGAGAGCCCACGTGCCCTGCCCAGGGGTGACAGTGGTGCCTTAGGGGAGAGGATATCTCACCTCACTGGGGTGAAGCCTTTGTGCTCCCCAGACCACAGCCTGATCACACTCTGGATTTCAATCCCTGGGCTCGTGTGGGAGGTTGATTCTTGGGGGTTCCCTGTCATGCAGTGCTGTCGTTCAAAGGGAACATCTTTCCCTTTCATCCCCACAGCTCAGCGAGCTCATGAGCGAGAAACGGCACGAGGTGGAAAGAGACCACGAGAGGAGGATGGAGAGGATGAGACAGGAGCACCGGGAGGCCTTAGCCCGGATTAAGGAGCAGTTTGAGGAGGAGGTACCGCTCTCCAGAGAGTGTCCCGTGTGTCTGTTGACTGTGGAGAGCCCTGTGCTGCACTGAGGGCTTTTCCTCTCCCCACTCAGGAGCGGAGGCGGAGGTCGGAGCTGCTGCAGAGGGTGCAGAGCGAGACCCTGCAGCTCTGGCAGTCCCACAACGCCGAGGTGAAGGCTCTGCAGGAGGAGCTGGAGGGGAGGCTCACCGACCTGAAGCACAGGCACAGGGAGAAGGTGAGGGGCACCCCTCTGCTCTGTGTGACCTGGCTGCTTAGGGGTGCCCAGGGCACCCCACACCTCGTGCCCCTGCCACCCTCCACAGCCCAGGGGGACTGACACGAGTAACAGGTCATGCTTCCCAGCCCGTGTTGTTCCCCCTGTGGCAGAGCTCTGCCAGGTGAGGGAGGAATTTGTACCATTCTCTCTTTAACTCAGTGTCTCTGTGCAGGAAAGAAAAATCCAGGATGCGGAGAACGAGCTTGAAATACGTGCAAAGAGCCTCCAAGCCAGATCAGAGCAGCTCCTCAGCCAGGTGAGTCGGCCTGGTGGGCTCACAGGGGTTCCCTTACCTGTGCCAATCCTTTGGCTGCTTCCTCGTGGGGAGCTGGTCAGAAATGCTCAGCCAGGGCTTCTGCTGCTGTCCCAGCTGCAGGTACAACTTCCGCCACAGGTCAGAGCAGGGCTAAGCATTGCTGGTGGTGCAGCCTCAGGGCTGGTGTTTGCAGTGAAAGCCTGAGCTGTGGGTTTGCTCAGTGCTTTGGGGGATAGTGAGTGACTGTGAGAGGGGCAGAGGGATCATGAAGCAAATCTAACAGTCCTTGGGGATTTTGAAACTTGGGCCTGAGGTCTGTCCTTGAGGTGGTGCTCTCTCACCTGTGCCCAGGAGGAGGACCTGCGAAGGAAAAGGCAGCAGCTGCTGGATGAGGACAGGAGGACACAGCTGGAAAGGGATGTATGTATGCCTGAGCTCTGGACAGGGGCTGTGCTGCTGCTGGGGCTGAGGGCACCACGCTGGAAGTGTGGCTTTAAAAAGAAAAGAAACCATTGCTTCTAAACCGTGAGGCTGAAAATCCCTCCCTGCCCCAGTCTGGAGTGCCATCCTGCTGGGAGGTGGATTAACTCTGAGCTGTTTCCCAAAGAGAAGAGACAGTCCTGCTTTTCCAGGACTGGGGTGTGTGTGTGTGTGCAGCTCTGGACCCCTGTGAGCCGTGCAGGCAGCGAGCCCTCGTGTGCTGTGTGTGCCTCTTATTTTGGTTCTGGGGAAATGACCATGAGGGATTTTTTTTGTTTTCTTGTAGGAAGCTGCTTTGGCCTCTCAGCTGCGCCTGGAGGAGAGCAGGAAGGAGCATGGCAGCCTCCTCGAGTCCGTCCGGCAGCTGAGGAAGTCTCTGGAAGAGCTGCAGGACCAGAAGGCTGAGCTGGAGGCCCAGGTGGACCTGCTGCAGACCCGGAGCCAGAGGCTGCAGAAGCGCATCGGGTGTGTAGGAGCAGTTTTCCTCCCTATCAGTAGCTCAGGGTGGGAATTTGCTCCTTTACCTCTGCTTCTCAGGTTTGTTTGTCTCCACACCTGCCTTGTGTGGTTAGTGAGGTGCTGTGAGAGGAGCACTGAAATGCAGAGACTTTCCTGAGGTGGCTGAGCTGCTGGGGAAGGGTGGGAAGCAGTTTCCCTGCCCAGCCAGGGGTTATGATTGGCACAGAACCAACACTGGTGCTGTCTTACACACCTGTGGCCCTTTCCCTCCTGGAATCTGGACACCACTGCAGCCAGGATGGACTGCAGGCTAATCAAGTGCCTCCACTGTTTCCTTTCCTGTGGCAGTGAGCTGGAGGAAGCAGTCAGGAGCAGGCAGGAGACTCTGAAAGAACTGGAGGCAGAAGAGAGTGTGGAGTCTCCAAGAAAGCAAACTGAGCTCCGTATTGAAGACCTGAGAGAAAGTACTCAAGCTGTGAGTAAAGCAGACTGAAGGTGTTTGCTTTGTGAAATCTGAGGCTGTAACTCTCTTGAAAATCCCAACTTTTGTTCCTTCTGTGTGAAATCATTTGAGGGGATGCATTTCTCTTTGCCACTGTGTTCAGTAGTATTTGCTGATTTCTGTCTGTTATTAGTGGGTGGAGAGGAGTGTGGGATACTGGAATCAAAAGCAGGGCTTGAGTTGGAATAGAAATGTCTGTCTCTCCTTCAAAAATCACATGAAGAACATCCCAGGCACTGTTTTTGGATCTGGGCAGTACCATGGTGATGTCGTTCCAAGTTTTCGCTCCTAATGGAATTCTTACAGGAGCCCTGGGGTTCTGTTTCCCATACATGTTTCTTAATTTCTGAAATGCTTTACCTCCTCAGCCCTCATCCAGAGAACTTGCCTCCTCAGCCTCTCAGAGCCACGAGGAAAGCGACTTCCAGTGTGATCCGTGAGTATCAATATGCCAGAAAGCCTTTCTTTTCGCTCTGGTTTTCCAAGCAAATGCTCTGGCTTGGATTTACATATGGTGCACTGACAATCTGGTTTTTGGGAGGTGCTGTGTGAGGCGTGCAGGAGGGCACAGGCAGCCAGGACTCACACCTGCCTCTCTGCCCTAGTGTCCGGAGCTACATCTCTGCGGAAGGGGCCTCCCTCCGGAGTGCCAAGGAGTTCCTGCGGCACCAGACCCGCTCCATGAGGAAGAGGCACTCGGCGCTGAAGGCTGCGAGGGTGCAGTGGCGCCAGGACCTGCAGAGGGCACAGGAGGCACTGCAGGATCCCCACAGCTCCCAGCTCCTGGAGGGCATGCGCCAGAACCTGGAGGAGGTGAGCCCTGAGCTCGTTCACAGGGGGTGGACACTGTGGCTGCACGAACAGTTCCACAGCCCTGGGATCAATTCCTGGCTCTGCAGGTGTGCTGACCCTGTTGGAAGTGGGGTTTGGAAGTAAAACCTTCTTTTCCTTGGGCTTTGAGCCATGTGCTCTGCTCGCTGTCCACACCACTTCCCGAGCTGTCGAGGACTTGGGGGCAGTTTCACTCCAGCAGCATCATTTCCTGTGCTGAGCAGATTGAGATAATGAAAGTCACCCTGACTGCTAACATAGATCATTGCCTGTCATTCTGGTTTAATTTCCCTCCTTGCCTGGCTGTTGATCCCCTGCAGGAGGCAAAGCACTTGGACAAGATGAAGTCGGCCATGCAGAAAGGGCAGGTGCTGCTGCAGAAGAAGGAGGAGAAGCTCAGCCAGCTGGAGTCTTCACTGCTGGAGGAGGTAACACCAGCATCACTCCCAGGGTCTTCCCAGCTACATTCCCCCTGCCCAGAGCTCTTTGCCTCCTCTCCCTGGAGGCCCTGAGGGACTGGTGGTCCCTGTGAGGACCCTTTAGCTGGTGGCCAGAGACTGGAGTTTGCCAGCAGAGCTGGATTTTGAAACACATTCTGTGAGATCACAAGAGACTGAGTGTGTGGCTGCGGAGAGCAGCCTGGAAAAGAGCCTAGAGAAAACAAGGTCTGGGATGGAGTCTGCTCTCCTGACCAAGGCAAGCCTTGGAATGTCTTTGGCTCTGCCTGGGACCACGTGGCCTTGGGCAGGGCAGCAGCAGATGCAAGAGCACAGACTTTGGATGGTGCAAAGAGGGAACCCAGTCCTGCAAGAGTTCTGAGGGTTATTTAAAGCACAAAACACGTTGAGTCCTGTCTAGAAGGGCCAGTTCACATGGCTGTTGGATTTGGCCTCTCACAGTTCCAGAGCCTAAGCAGTCTCTTGATACTCAGATTTTGCTGTCAGGGACTGAAGACGAGTTTGCCTTCACTTGACCTGTGCCTGACTGAGTAGACAAGCTGTAGGCAGATTTCCAGCAGCTTTTATGTTTCAGGGATGATACAGCAGGTTTTGTTGCTTTGTTTTCCTCCTGAGCAGCTCTCAGATGAGGATACACTGAAGAGTGCTGCCTGCAAGAAGGTGGTGACTTTTGATCTGAGTGACTCTGAGGACACAGAGAGTGCATCCATTGGAGAACTGTGTCAGCCTAAATGTAAGTGCCTGCCTGGCTCGGTGTGCTGTGCCCAACCTGTGAGGCTCTAGACCTATTCTGGCTTTGCCTTGCACCTCTCTGATGATGTTCTCACTTGTGCTCAGTGGTGTTTAAGGCAGGTCTGGTCCCCATGGTTGGGACTGCTCTGTGCATGAAACTTGATTGGAAAAACTTCTTTCCTGCCTGTAGTGGCAGATAAGAGGGATGGAGACTGTGCACGAACTTGCCCTTGAAATCTCTGTGCATTGTAAAATCTGGTTGCAGCTCTTCCCTCTGCTGCTCCAGAGCTGTATTGCTCTTCTGCAGGAATCTGGGTTTCCCCTTCCTCGCATCCAAGGCAGGAGAGGCTGCTGCAATTCCCTCTCTGCTGCATGTGCTTTTTGTTGGCCTGCAGTTGCCTGTAGCTGGAGTTGTGCAGGGGAGTTGGGGCAGGAGGGTTGGGTTGCTTGCACAAAGGCTGCTCTTGTTAGCACTTGCCTGCGACCCCTTTTTTCTCCTCTCTTTCTTCAGTTGATTTTAGGACGGATTTATGGCCTGTCCCCCAGCTGGACAAGATCCAGCACTTGAGGGACTCTCTGCAGTGTATCACCAGTGAGCTGAACGGGGTCCTGGGTGTCCTGGACTCCCTGAGCCATCACCACACTCCTCTCTTCGCCTCGACAGCCCGTGATGGCATCCCTCTGTCCACATATTCCTCCTTGGCAGGCCTGCAGGCAGGCAGCTCCCTGGGGGATATTTCCAGGGTGCCTTCCACCGACAGGTGGGCCTGGAACAGTGGGCTGAGCACCGGTGTCTCCATCTCAGGGCGGTCAGTGGACAACATCCTGGCAGAGAAATGGCACAGGTATTTCCCAGGTGAGTCTCCTGTCCTTAATCCGTTCTTCTTCCTTGCCTTCAGCTTTTGATTTCTCAGCCCTGCAAGTTCTGGCTGTCTCACCCTTCCAATGCTGGAAGGGCAGATGCACTGGAGCTGCTGATAGGAAGGGTGCTCATGGGATAAGGAGTGATAAGGAATGTTGATTTTGGTGAGTCTGTATTTAATGTCTGTTTTCCAGATGGGATCTCATCGCTCAGTGGGAATCCCAAGCCTCTGGACAACAAGCTGGGATACATACCTGCAGAGTAAGGGTCTTCTTCCTTGAGATGTTCCACTGTGCTGCTGTCATTTCTCTGGGATGATTATTGGGTCACATACATAGCAAGCAGATAACAAATTGTAAATTACGTGTTAGTGACAACATGTTACATGTTAAAAATAACAATAACAAATTACATATTAAAAATAATATATTAATAAGTTATCACATTAGCTGTTCACTGCCACGTGCTCAGGTGAGGAGATGGCTTTTTGGTAACGGCGGCTCCTTCTATAACAACCCATCACTTTTTCATCTGTTCTGCCCAGACCTCTCTTTCCCACCCACCCTCTCACTCTCTCTCATGTGCCCCAGTGAACAAATCCGGCAGCTGCAGCATTCCAGGTTCCACGAGCCGGGGAAGATGAGCATCGAAGGAATGATCGAGAGCAACAAGAAATGGCTGAAAAGCTTCAGGAAGGACTCAAAAGCGTATCCTTTACCTGGGTCTGGCCTTTAATTGTGTTCCTGCTCCCTGCAACAGGCAGGAGGAGGTGAGTGAATTGGGAGCACCAAAGCATTGAAGAGCAGTTTTTACTTTAGTGTCTGTTTCTGCAAGGGAATGTTGTGTTCAGCAGTTAGAGCATGAGCGACCTGTTTGCTGCTCCTTGAGCTGTGCATGACTGAGGAATTCTTCTCCCTTCCTTTCCCTGCTTGTGATGCTCTTTAGTGACTGAGGAATTCTCCTCCCTTCCTTTCCCTGCTTGTGATGCTCTTTAGGGATGCTGCTCTGCCATAAAAGAGCAGTTAGAGCTGGTAATGTGAGAATTTAAAAAATGTGAACCAAACAGTGCAGAGTGGAGGAGGTGTCAGGGAAGAAGGGGGTCTGCCATGGGCAGGCCCTGCTGAGCAGCCCAGGATGAAGGGAGGGCACCTGGAGACATGTTGACCTGGCACATGGGGTGGCCACAAGGGCTGGGCTCCTCCTGGAGCTCTTCTCCCATTTCAAGGCATCTTGCAGCATGAGGTTGGATCCAGAGGGCAAGACCTCTCTGTGCTGTTAGCAGGGATGTTTCCAGGCTGTGTGGTACGTTGGTGTCTCTTCCAGTGTTCACTGTAAGCAGCAAATCCCTGGGGCCTCTGTGCTGTCCTGAGCCTGGTGCACCTCTGAATTCCCTAATCCCCCTTTAATTCCATTTGACTGGGATGCAGCAGGCTAAATACAGCATGTGTGCACAAGGCTGGCTCCGTACCTCAGTACCTGCCCTGTCTGGCTGTGCTCAGGTGTGCTAATTCCTGCTCTAAGCCAGGCTTTTCCTTCACCCGACTGCCAGACCTCTCTCCCCACGTGCACAGAAGCCCCCGGCCAGCAGCACCAGCCCCAGCCTCCTCCAGCTGGGAATGGATGAAAACAGGCAAATTAAGGTGTACCACTACTAAAAGGTGGGGGTTTTCTCTGGAGAGATGGTGGGGGTCTCCCTGTGGTGTGCTGGGTCTCAGTGATGCCCACTCAGCCACCACTGCTGTGTCTGTGTGTCCTTGAAAACAAGTCTCTTTGCAAGAGAGTGGAGGAAGGAGGAAGCAAACTTCCCAGGTGGATTCTTCTAATCCTGTAATGTGTCCAAATATACTTTATAGACTATTTAATCCAGCGGTGACATATCAGGGCTTCGATAAATCAACATTTCCCTCATTAGTATTCTAGCAGTGGTGAGGCAGAGCTGTGAATCATGGAGGACTTTGAGTAACTGGTCAAGGGGGAGGATTTGAATCCAGCTGAGACTGTGCTGGAGGAAACGTGTCAGGAAATGAGCCCAGCAAATGCTCCATGGCAGGTGGGCCGTGTCAACTGGCCTGTGGCACGTGTGAGCAGGGAGAAGGAGCAGTGGAATGGTGCAGAGTCTGGGGACAAAATCAGGGAATGACAGATTCTGGCTCTTGGGGAATGTTCTGCTTGTTTGGGGTGGAAGCAACAGGAACTGAGCCAGGAGTGGCTCTCCATGGCAGCGTTGGACAAGCAGTCCCTGCTCCTCTCTGTGCCAGACTGGCCAGAGCTGCTCAGCCAAGGAGCTGTGGGAGCTCTGTTCCTGTGCCATGGATGTGCCAATGGCAACGGGAGCAGGGATGGCAGGGGAGTGTGAGGAGTGTCTGCTGGTGCAGGCTCTGCTGAGGAGCTCAGTCTGCTGTGAATGTCGAGACAGAGCCCCACCTGCGTCCTTCCATGCCCTGGGAGAGGGATCCAGGGCTCAGCTCAGCAGCTGGGCTCTGTCTGTATATACAGCCCTGTCTGTATATTCCCTGGGCAGGGCTGGGGAGCCCTCGGCATCCAACCTGAGCCTGGCCTGGCTGCTCCTGCAGCAGCTCCACAGGGATCCTGCGAGAGGAGAGTTGTGGGACGGGCTCTGGAGACTGGAAAGCTGGCTGAGGGGTTGGGGTGAGCAGCTCCTGGACCTCAGCTGCGAGATGGTGGCTCGTGGCTTTGCTCCCTGGGTGGCTGCAGTCGTGTTCCTTGGGAAAGGCCGTGTCCAGAGTGTATCCCAGCCCCCTGGGATGCACGAGCTGGGAGGGGGCAGATGGTGCTGCTCTGCCCGGTGGGGAGGGGTCAGGATTTCGTGCTGCTGAGCAGGAATGTGGTGTTTGGTTGTCTGTTGTCAGTGTTTTCTCCAAGCTGACTCTAAATATTTTATGCCCTAAAAAGATGCCGAGCCACTTGCCATTTTGCCTGATGAGGACGCCTGCACTTCAAGGGATCCCATCTGTGAAAAATGATCTTCAAAGCCATTTCTCCTGAGATGCCCCTCACCCTCCGTGCTGTGTGTGCTCCTCGGGTGGGTGATGATGCACAGCCCCCTCCTGCTCTGCTCCTGGGTGGTGTGTGCTGGCACACGCCGTGAGCACGGCAGGGGGATGTTTACATGCAAATAGAAATATATTTTTGATGAGCATCGTTTTAAAACTCTTAAGAATGTTTGTATATTTTATTTTACTTTTTTTTTTTTGCTTATTTTCTTAGAATTTTTGTAATTACTCAGCCAGCCTTAGTCCTCTCTAGGAAGGGAGGGATCAAAACACGGGTTTCCCATCTGCTGTCGGATTGCACCAACCCCTGTCTGTAGGGATTTTGCTTTTAGTTTCCTGGATACTGGGGGAAACATGGCAACCTTCCAGTCAGGTGTTTTAGAAGGGACTCCATGGTTCTGGCTCACTGTGGCTAAAGCCATTATCACTGAGTCCACTCTGTGTGTTGGGAGAAGCATGGATTAGTGCTGCAGAGAAATACCAGTTTTTTTAACAATAACTCGGTTTGAAACGTGTTCCTTTTTCCTGTTAAAACCTGGGATAGCAGCTGTATCTGGTTTTGTACAAAATTAAATCAACATGAGCCTGTTTTGTGTGATGGTGGTGGTTGTAGCTCTATTTTGTTGTAGCTCTGGATATCCAGCTGTACTTGCCTCTCACATCGTTCCCTTGCTTGTCTCTGGGCAGTCTCATGTTTTGTCTTCTCAAGGTCATTTCTGGCAGTTTCCAAGACCACTTCAGCTCGTTGTGGCCTTATTACCATTATTCTTTTAAGCATCTGGTCAGGGTAGCAAATGCAGGGACAGGAAAAGCTAAAAACCAAAACTACAGAACCAAGACAAGGTGTTGTGCTGGAGCTTCTCTCTGGCACCTTGGGATCTGTTAAAATTGTGTAACTGGAGATTGGCTGTGGCTGCTGATTTCCCATGTATTTGGGAGCAGCCAGGAATTCCCCCAGCAGTGCACTGGGTGCTTCTGGGATCCCGTGGTGGGATTGCTGAGTAATGCTCTCCTTAGGAATTAGGGAGGATTGGTGACGTTCTTCTCTCTTCCCGTGGCTTGTTCCTGTCCCCCTGTGGCTTCCTGCCAGCCACCCGTGGGAGCTGGAGGACTGGTGAGGCACAGTGTGTGGATCAGCTGGTCATGCAGAAATGGAGGCTGATAATTTTGTCCTTAAAAAGAAAACACACCACCACCACTTGACTTGCCCCAGTTCCTGCAAAGAGCACAGGGCAGCTCTGAGACATCCCAAGTCCGGTCTGGACTGTGAGAGCCTCCTGGTGTGGGGGTTTTGCTGTGATCTGAACCCAGCCTGGGGCTGGGCTGTGCGTGTGTGTCTGTGCTCACTGCCCTGCCCGTGTACCTGGAGAAGGGGATTTGCTTTTCCTGGAATGCCAGCAGCGTGTCTGTTGGAGAAACTCGGCGATTAGAAGTTAAAAGGGCAGCGCTCGATTACTTCACCAGGAGGAGCTCGAGCCATAAGCTCATTAAGGGCTTGGTCTCTGCCTGCCCAAGGAGGGACACTTCAGTCCCTGGCTGCTCGGACATCACCGTGCTCTGCTCCCAGAGCTGTGCCTTCCCGGGACAGAGGGAGCCCCTGGACACCCCGGCCATGCTGGGCACCCTGATGACAGCGCTGTTCTTTGTGGTGAGGGCGGTCAGGCAGGTGAGTCCGGGCTGGGATTTATTGCTTCCCTTTTATTTCTCCCCTAGGGCTGCTCTCCGTGGAGACAGGGAGAGGAGGCAGTGGTCTCCACTTATCCTGGTGGGAATGGCCTTCTGTGCCTGCTCAGCCCCTGGCTGGGAGGTTTGGGAGCCCTGTGGGCTCTGCAGCCCCAGGACCTCCCGATGAGCTGCTCGTCAGGGTGGTGCCAGGAAGGGTTCTGGTCACTGGTGGTGCATGTGGAGGAGCAGCAATTTCTGTTGCTCTTCCCCTTTCTCTGCTGTCCTCTTACCTGCTGCAAACCCTTTCTGTGTGCAGCTGGAGACCAGCCTGTTCCGTGAGGAGCCCCTGCCTTACCTGGTGTACCAGCCCCTGCCCTGGCAGATCCAGTGCGTGTCCCAGAGCCGCCGCACCAGCCGGGACAGCGAGGTGAGGGCTGGGGGTACCACCAGGGCAGCTGGCTCGGGGGGTGCCACTGCCTGCTGCAGGAGGCAGCTGTGCCAGCCAGGCAGGCTGCTCTGAGCAGAAGGCGTGGGCAGGGGGGAGAGGTTTTTTTCTCTTTCCCCCTGAAAGAGGAAAAAAAAAAAAAGGTGATGTCAGGAGGTGGGATAAGATGAAAAATGCAGGAGAGGTATTTGTAGGCAAATTCAAGCTTATTTTTAGGAATGGAAATATCCCCTATCAGACCTGGCATCCCAGGAGCTGCAGGTTCATAGTGTAGGGGCTGGAATGGGGAAAGCAAACCCAGCAAGCCTGTCTCCTTGCTGGTTTGAAATGCAGATCCAGTGAGGGTAATCTGTGCCAACATCCATTCCAAGGTATACTGGCACATTTCACAGCTCTGAGTCTGGATGCAAAATTCTTTCCTGCCTCCCCTTGGAGGTCTTTTCACAAATGTAGATTAATTAATCAGTGCTCTTTAAGGGAACAACAGTAATCATGTTCCAGTTTCCCAAAGGGAATGGACAGTGGAAAGCTTGGTGGGGCTGGTCCTGTCCCTTTCAGAGATTCCCAGCTGGCCTGAAAGGGACTGTCCTCACTGCCTCTGCCTGGGATACAACTAACTCTTAGTTTTCTTCTCTACTTTTCTAGAGAGGAAAGAGCTCTCGGCACAACAGCATCTACTCACTTTCTGGAGACAAAGGTGAGTATGAGGCAGGCAGGGAAGCATAAAAAAAAAAACAGCCCAGGTAATGGGGGAAGCTCGGGGCTGGGACTATGGATGCAGCAGGAGAGGAGGCACTGCAGCACCTGCATCCTTCTTGCTGTCTTCCTACTTCCAAAAATCTGTCCCTGTGACATTATTAAATGATATTTAATGGTGAGATATTTGTTAATATGTGTGGTATCAGCCAGTGAAGGTCCCAGGGATGCATAACTGAATATATAACAGTACATGTGTGGCTGTGCAAATCCCTTCTCCCCTCTTCCCGTGAAACCTGCCTCACTGACTCCCATGGGGTCACACTGGGGAGGACTCACACTATCCCCCCAAAACAACCCCTCTTCCTCTTCTCTTCTCCTTGTTCTGGTAAAACCTCCTGGAATTCAGCCCCCTTTCCTCCTTGCTCTGGTCTCCAAGGCTCTGCCCCTTTGCTGAAGTCAAGAGCTCAGTAAAGAGGATTTTGAGCAGTTCTATTCTTGGTGCCAATCGGATAAGGGGCAGTGGGGGCTGGGGGTGCTGCTGCTGTGACATCCCTCCTGGATGGCCCAGGAGCTCTGGCCAGCCTGGTCACTGGTTTGGGGGTCTCACTGCCCTGCAGTAGGTGCAGGTCCCTGGGCAGACAGTGGCTGAGCTCCTTGGGCAGGGGTGTTTCCTGTGGAGCTCTGGGCAGCCCACACAGCCGGGGCTCCTCCTGCCAGGCACTGCAGTACCTACCCCATGGTCCTCAGCCTCTGCCCTTGGACCTGTGCACTGTGCAGGGTTTACAGCTGATGGTGTGTCTTGTTAAGCAGGGCAGGAGGGAACCCCTTCCCAACGTGGACTTCTCTTATTTATCTTTTTACTTGGCAATTTCTTTTAGGTTGTGAAAGGAAATGGGTTCAGGTGACAGCAGTGAGTTTATACAGCAGCATCTGGCCCCAGGATTCCTGATGGCTGCTCGGGGGGTGCTTAGCAGTGACACACTGGCTTAGAGGAGCACTGCTGAGTGGCTTTGATGCAGTTCCTGTTGAATTTCACAATACTTCCCTAATGCCACATTAAGCAGGAGTGGGGAGGGCTCCCATTTGTCAGCATGAGAGCTTTATTGCTGTACAGTGCCGGGCTTTTTTTCTAATCTTATTTGTGTGTGCGAAAGTAAGTGAGCATCATACGTGGTGATTAAACGTGGGGAAGCTGCTGTCTTTGGGGAGTGGAGCTGTGTAAATAGAGGGCTTAGTGCTGCCAGGGAGGCTGGGCTTTACTTTGCCTCCTGTTCCCTGCTCCCTGTGCCCTGGAGGTGTCTTTGTGAGCCAGTGGAGTTGTGGTTTCACACTCTGAGTTTTTCAGCCTCTTTGACCTCCCCAGTGAGGAAAGATGTCCTGTCTGGGGGCTTGGGAGGCCACTGACCCTGTGGTGGGGATGCCAGAGCCCTGCCCTGCTCTATGCAGCCTGTTCAGGGCCACGGGCACTGCCTGTGCTCACTGTGGTGCTCTGTTGTCACCCCAGGTGATGTGACCCCTGATGACAGCAAGGACAGCACGTTCTTCAGCGACCCTTCGGAGAGGGCAGCCATCACCATCCAGACCCACTTCAGGAGGTACCAGCAGCAGAAGCAGGAAAAGAAGTAGATACATCAGCCACCCGTGCCCTGCACTGTCCCTCCTGTTTGTCTGTTCTGTACCCCAGAGACATTTGGGGCTGTGGTGACTGTGAACCTGCCCCTGAACCTACACCTGCACCCCCTTGGTGCAGCTGTAGGTTCTCTGCCCTTGTGTTGGTCGCTGCTCAGAGCGAGCTCTCTGTCCTGCTGTCCTTCCCCAGACAGCATTGCCTTGTGGGCCAGGGTGCAGCTGGAAGGGGGCTGTTGAGGACCTTGGAACAGGGGGGTGATGCTGCAGCCTGTCCTTGGCCAGCCCTTGGGTCACAATGAGTGAGTCCCAGCAGCTGTGTGGGTGGCAGTGGGGCCCTGCACAGCTGAAGGTGGTTGTGCTGGCTGGTCTCTGCCCAGCTGGGGCTTGTTTCACTCACCACTGACCCTCCCCTGTGCCTCTGCCTCCTTCACTCTGCTTCTGGAGTTGGATGGAACAACTACCTTTGTCCTCTGCTCTGGGTGGATGGCTGGCAGAGGTGCCAGCACAGTGTCCAGGAGCCAGCCTGGAGTGGGAATGTCACCGAGGGGATGTGCTGCAGGCAACTCAGGAGCTGAGCTGTGAGCTGATCTTACCTTTTCTTGGGGACAACTGGTTGGGGTGCCAGAGCAAGTGTGGGGTGAGACTCTGTCTCCTGAAGCTGAACCTGCTTTTCTTCCTGAGGCAGCCCTCTGGTAATGCTGGTGTTTGGGTTAGAGCCCACCCAGCCCCTTGCTCTGGTGCTTTGGTGCAGCAAAGCTGAACAGAGACCTGCAGGCAGGTCAGGCAGGGACAGGAGTCCAGGAGAGTCTTGGGTCTGAGTGTCTCTGTTTCTGAGTGCTGTTGTTTGCAGCTTGAAAGAGGGAATATGAAAGCACAGAGCTCTGGGCCAGCACAGAAACAGGAGATTTGCTGTGAGCAGGGGGGTGAGGGGGGACTGGGGGACCTGGGGGAAGGAGCAGGGCATGGAGGGGCTGCTGGCTCAGAGCCCTGAGCGTGGTCTCCAGTGCTGCTTTGCTGGGTCTGTTGTTGGGGTTTCTGTGCAGAGCTGCTGAGCTGTGCCCCAAGAGCCCTTTGTTTTCCTCTCCAGCCATAATCACCCTCAGCCCTCCTTACCAGCACTCTGTCCCCAGCTGCCCCTACTTACCTTTGGCTTGTGTTAGGTGTCTGGACTCTGTCTGTGCTTGGCTGTGGTGGCATCCAGTGCTCGTGGCTCTGCTCTGGAGCAGGGCTGGTGACACTGGGTCGGTCACTGGGGTGGTGGGGGCAGGCTGGGCTGGCTGGCACCAGCAGGTGTGTGTGGCAGGTAACCTGGGGTCTGGCTGGAATGCTGTGCAAGGCAGCTGGTAAAGCAGACCTGGAAGGAAACTCTGGATTTCTGAGCTTGAGGGCTTTTTGTCTGTTTGCTGTTGAAGGCAGAGTTGGTGTAGCTGGTGTGGCTTGAATTCACTGTTCTCCTGCAAACCCTGCTGTGGCAAAGGGCAGTGGGCTCTCTGGGAGCAGGGGGGTGTTGGGGTCTCGTGGGTGAGTGCTGGAAACTTGGGCTCTGTTAAACTGTGCAAGGCCAGGGCTTGTGTCTGCTGGGGAAGGGAAGGGGGAGAATCCTTGCTAAGATATAGAAGGAAATCTGTACTAGCCAATTCCAATAAAGACCTATTAATCTCTGTTAATCTGTCCTGCTCTTTATCTTGCTAATCTACTTACTCTTACAGCTGAACACGCTTGCCTTTTCTATTTCTAATTCTAATTTCTCTTCTGTTTCTATTCTGAGCCTGGTATTGGCATTTTTGGAGGTGCTGCCTTGGTGGTGACCCTGCTTTAAGATGGGGCTGGGCACTTGCCTTTTTTTTTTTTTTCCCTTTAATCTGTACTGTGTAAAGATTTATGAGTCTCTGATGTGCTCTGAACTGGTTTTAAACTTCTGGTTTGCTGGTCACCACTCTCCACTGCTCTCGGGGAGAGACAGAATGGGCAGGACTGGTTTCCCTTGGTTGGTGGCAAACACTGGCCAGTGTGGGACAGACCTGCCTTTGGACAGGTTGCTGTGGGGACCTGTGGGTTGCCTGACTGACCCCATTCAGCTGCTGTGCTCATGTTCTGGGTATGAGCACAGTACAAAATCTGTGTATTCCTTCATGCTAAGTTGGAAACTTACCATGGTTTTGTCTCCAAAGAGCTGTTAAAATTGAATTAATAGGAAAACTCGTGCCTAGTTCCTAAGAAAAGCTGTACAGGGGTCAGTGGGGGGGTTGGTGCAAGAACATGAGTGGGAAATTGCAGCCCTGGCATTTGGAGCATCATCCCTGATGCCTCCACACCAGCCTGTGTGGGGAAGGTGCCCCTCTCCATCTGAGATGCTCCTTGGCAGAGGTTGGCTCTGAGTTGTACCTGAATAATGGCCAAAAACTATAAAAAATGGGCATAAGAAATTGTCTTAACAGCTTGTTTCTCGAGCCCCAGGGGTGAACAGCTGCCAGGCTCTTGCTGAGGTGCTTCCAGCTCTGCAGGATTTCAGGAGTTACCTTAGTTAGGAAGAACCAGATGGCAAAGGGAGGATCTGCTGACCACTGTGCCAGCAGGCAGGGAAGGGGACTGCTCTAGGTGGAGACTGCAGGTGATGTCATCAGTAGCACCAGTCACTGTATTTCCATGTAATTTTTTTTTTGAGTACTACATTTAAAAAAAAAAATTAAAAAATATTGAAAAAGTGATCTCTGCAGCACTTGGTTATAACTGATGAATTAAACCCTGTAAAGAGAGAAAAAAAAAAAAAAAGAGAATGGTACAAACCTGTGTATAGATGCTCCAACAGCTGGTTTGAGTTAAGATAGGAAGTGTATCTGCAAGGAAAAAGCTGGAACCAGTGGGTAGCAAGCATGGATGGAGAACTGATGAAAACTTGAGCTTATACATTACAGAAAATAAGGAAATAAAAGTGCAGTTAGTTATTTAGACCTCAAATAGCACCAGAAGTTCCTCAGGAAGGTGAAGTTCTACTTTGGGTTACTAAAATAAGAGTTAATAATGGCCTGAGCTATTTTTGCCTTCCCAGGGTAGCAGAACAGGTGAGAAGGACTGAGAGCCCCTGGCTCCTGCCTGAGCTTCAGTTGCTCTTGCTTTCACAACCACATATGAAAAGGGAAGGTAGAACCTGCGTCTCTTTGGTGGTTTATTGCTGTGGCTGGTGGTAAAAACAAAGAATTAAAATAAGAACAAATGATGGTGGGGGCTGTGCTGGGCTTTGTGGTGTCTGTGTGCTGTGGTGCGACACAATGCCCTGTGTCCTGGGGCACCTGTGCAGTGTTGTACCATGCCCTGTGCCATGATTCACCAGGATGGAAGGCAGATACATCGTGATCCCTGGCACTGTGCTGGATTTCTTGGGCTCCCCCCTGTGCTGCCCTTCACCACAGTGTGCTGGGTTTTGATGTGCTGTGTTTCCATGTGCTGTGTTTCGCCGCTCGTTGTGCTCAGCAGTGGTGCTGCTCCTCCTGCTCTCCCTGCTGCCACGTCCCAGGGAGCCAGGCCCTGCTGTGAGGAGCTGCTGTGCCTGGCTGGATGCTGGGTACGATGCTGGGTACGATGCTGGGTACGATGCTGGAGCCGCGCGGCACCGCAGCCGTGACACGACTCAGGAGGGTCCTGGCATCGGTCCACCCCTCCAGAGGAGCTGGACCAGGGTTCCTGTCTGGCACTTTGCTTCACCCTGGGCTGGAGCTGGACTTACCAGTGACTCGGTACTGTGGCACAGTCTGGCCATGGCTGGGCTGTCCCACTCAGGACCCTGTTCCCATCCCTGACCCTCCTCCCGCCCCACGGCTCTCCAGGTCGGTAAGTGCCTTAGTATTTCTTAATATTTAATCCCTTTTTTTAGTATTCCTTAATATTTAATCCCATGTCTTAGTATTTCTGTACAGTGGCTGCCCTGGGCTGTCCCTCTCCATCCTCCTGCCTGCTCTGCCTTAATTCCCTGCTCACTTAACAAACGCCCGCGTATAAACATAACCTTTATTGCACACAGCGCTGGGTTTTTTTTCATAGAAAAAGGTATTAACACATAAGCATTTGCAAATTGAAGCAACTCCTGCTGTTTTCAGAACAGTAAAATAGCATGCAATGTCTCGGAGACGTTCCTTTTTAAAACCACCGACAAGATCAGGGAGAAAAAAAAAAAAAAAAAGTCGCTGAGTCTTTCCTTGTGCCCCTTTCAAAATGATGTGAAATATATATATATGTTTACATATATATTATATTTTTAAATCTGTAACATCAAATTCTTTGTGCCCTGGTTTCTTTTTCTGTTCGGAGAAGAAGAAAATAGCTTCATTTTTATACAAAAGAGTTCGTTATGTACAAGTTTGTTAATTAAATATAAATGGCGCGGGGTGGGGGGGTCCGGGGGGGACGAGCAGCATCCGGCGGGTGGCCCTACACCAGCGTGTAGGACTTGGAGTAGGCTCCGGCGCCCTGTTTTTGAGACCTGCCTACCCCCGACGTGCTCATCTCTAGGAGCGAGTCCCTGGAGCCCCCCACTTTGGAGTGCGTGGGCACCCGTGGCTCGGCGGCGGCGGCGACGGGGGGCTCGGCCGCGGCGGGGGGAGCCGGGGCGGCGCTGGCGGCGGGCGCGGCCGCGGTGCCGGTCGTGCCGGGCATGGGGAGAGTCCTCTGAGGTAAGGTGGTTGCGGCCGAGGCCGGGGGAGGCAGCCCCAGGGGCTTGGTGCCGGGCTCCAGCGTCATGTGCCGGGCCTGCGCGTGGTACGCCCGGGCGAGGTTCCGGATGGAGGCCTCCCGCGGCGGCACCACCGGGCACGGCTCGTGCGCGTCCGGCTTGCGGAAGAACGCGTCCGACTTGACGTACAGAGGGAGGTTGCAGTAGTCACCTGCCGAGGGAAGAGGAGGCGGGTGAGGCTCTGCAGGGATCCCTCTGCCCACCGCACGTGGTGCTGTCCTGGCACATGGAACACGGCCGGGCGTCAACCCAAAACTGCCCCGCCCGGTGCAACGCGATGGATGGGACCTGCCAAGCTCCGGCGGGCACTCCAGTGGGCAGTGTGGGATACAATGTCTTATATCATCATGTAACACTATTGCTAATGTTGTAATGCACAGAGTAATAAAGTATTAGAACGTGACTCTGTTGGTCTTATTGTAATGCACAGAGTAGGAAAGTAGTAGAATGTGACAGAATTGGTCAGATACTTTCTGACCCCGGGCATTAGAATTAGAATGTGACAGAATGTGTCAGATTCTAATGCCCGGGGTCAAAAAGTGTCAGAATCTGACAGAATCTGTCAGATTCTAATGCCCGGGGTCAAAAAGTGTCAGAATCTGACAGAATCTGTCAGATTCTAATGCCCGGGGTCAAAA